ATAGGTCAGAGACCACATTTTATGGTATCTGTGTATATTAAGTACATCCAGTTGTTTGGATAAGAACAAGAACAAGAAGTCATTGAAATCCCCCACAATGATAAAAACTTGTGAATATATGTGAAACTTGTTGCCATGGAAACTAACAATATATTGGTTTAAAAAATCCAAAACAATCAAAAAGCAGCAGTTCACCATTAGACCTATCAGTGAACCAAGTTTAATGAAGAAATATGGTATGGTTTTCAAGATCTGCTCTGAAATGACATCCTTTGCCGACAGAGGCCCGCTCGGATGGTGTCCATTTTAAAAAAAACCCACAAAACTTGTTGTGGGGGCTAAAAACAAACAGACTCTAGGAATGGGATCACTTACTTAGTGAAGGTACTGGCATTTAAAGAATATAGAAGTTGAAAACTGAGAAGTCACCATCCAGGGACAACATATTCAAAAGCTAAACTTTGGCATGTATTTAGTCTCTGTAGAGTTTAGAGTGAGTGACATTACATACATGCACTTACACTTAAAGGCACATTATCCATATTGCACCATGACAAGTTTTGTAAAATTGTGCTGCCTTTTAGGCCACAACACAAAATAAACTCATATGTACAATTCAGGCTAGTTAAGAGACATAGAGATAAATGTATGTATTATGTCTAGTGGTATCCTAAAAAGGAGTAATATGGTATCTTAAAACCAACATATAAAACATCATCACAAAAATATTCACATTACATGTGAAAGATAATTATGTTACTAATTCATCATCATTGAAATAAGGACCTTCGGTAATAAACAACAAGATGAAATATTTCAGATGCCAACCAACAATGATTGAGAAAGAAGTACTTTTGTATAAGTATTACCTTTCTCAGTAATTCAACCATTAAAGCAGCTGTTTCATTAAAAGGTTGGTTATTGTGATTTGAAACCACTGATTGGCCAATCAGAATTAAGTATTTTCAAAATAATGGTAGATTTACAAATAATTACCTTTACATTTTTGTAAATGTAATGCAGCCAATTATGCAATATTTCCATTAAGTTTTTGATGCATTTAAAATACAAAAGTCACGTTCCTTAGCAAAGTGTTTCCATAATCAATTTTTAAGAATAGTAGCAATGAAAATAGCATTCACATCAAACAAATAACAAATATTCACATCATGAAGTTTCTTCATATGTATGTGACAATAAAAAACCATAACATATATGTTTTGTACATAAAAGAAAACAAAGGTTAAAGAGAACTGTAAACATGAGCAGTTATAGTCACAACTCAACACATCAGTTATGAAAGCACCATGGTACTTCAGAACAGCAAAGCCTTGTTTGTCAAAGCCATTTGGTCCAATTGTTATATCATGGACGATTATCATCATCCTGTTATGTGTCTTATCTATATCATCATCATCATCATCATCATCATCATCATCATCCTGTTATGTGTCTAAACTATGTCTGAATCACAAGATTTCCAATTGGTTTCACTCTGAAAATCAGTGTTGTAACAATGTCTTTGCAGAACACTGAGGCAACACTAAACGGCGATCAGTTGTCAAATATAAGTGATATGAGTATAGCTTGCTGCAGGCTGTAGTTAAACTTTGGCATGTATTTAGTCTCTTTAGAGTTTAGAGTGAGTGACATTACATACATGCACTTACACTTAAAGGCACATTATCCATATTGCACCATGTTAAGTTGTATAAAGGTATGCTGCCTTTTAGGCTACAAAACAAAATAAACTCATAAACTCATACAATTTAGGCCATCTTAGAGACATAGAGATATACATGTACTATGTCTAGTGGTTTCCTAAATAGGATAACGATATAAGGATCTATTGAAAAAGTTGTTATCCATAAATTGTGTCTACTTTGAGTAATATGGGGTTTTAAAACCAACATATAAAATAATCCTAACAAATACAATGTTGTTGGCCTCCCTTTATGAAACAATTCTTACAATGCAACAACTGTGTCCATGACACTTTTGGAAGAACATACACTCAAGCAATGCAGATGTGCCAAGTTTGGTGAAGAAATATAGTACGGTTTTCAAGATCTGCTCTGGAAACGAGGACTACTGCCATTTTCAGTCTAAATCAAAGTCGTTGCCATGGAATCTCGAAAAATATTTTTTTGAAAAATCCCAAACTATCAAAAGGCACCAGTTCACCACTAGATCTATCTATGTGCGAACTTTGATGAAGAAATATAGTACGGTTTTCAAGATATGCTCCGGAAACGAGGACTACAGCCATTTTCAGTCTAAATCAAAGTCGTTGCAATGGAAACTCGAAAAATAATCGGGGGATAAAAATAAACCTGTTAACATTGGAAGCTTATTGTCGTCAAGAACAATTTGAATTGTTAGGTGTACAATTCCACACAGATCTTCATCATATGATCGAAGTCAACTATAACACTAAGTTTGAGGAGTGTGAAAGATTAAAGACAATATGGTCAATCAATAAATCTAACTATGGACGGCCATTCGATCAAAAAATACAAAGTTGAAAAAAGGACAAAAGTACGCAATTAAGATCAAATATTAAGAATAAAAATCAAATGTTACTACTTAAGGTCAAAATACAAAACAAACAGACGAGGGTTAAACATACAAAGTTGAAATAAATGTCAAAAGTATGCAATATTAATAGTCAAATGTTAAGAAAAGACGTCATAAGAAAAGAAAGAACAATGTGTACGAAAGAACGTCAGTGAGCACGAAAGGACGTTTTCAATAAAGAACGTCAGTGAGCACGAAAGGACGTTTTCAATAAAGAATGTCAGTGAGCACAAAAGGACGTTGACAATAAAGAACGCCAGATGGCACGGCAATTTGTAAAACATTCCGAGTTTAATTGGCTTGTTCCGCCGTGTATATGATAACTGCATGCCAAGGTGCACAATGTATTACGTCATTCCTCGTGCACTCACCGTCTGACGCTGATCCAATTGTCATATCATGGATAAGTCAGTACCAATATAATCACCATCACCATCATCACAATCATATCTACTGGTAAGCCAGGATAAGTTGAGTTGTAACCTGACAATTAAGCCTGTTTGACTATGTATCAGGTCCGCCCATGAGGCATACCATTGTGAAGAAAGGGGTAGTGGGTGGTCCGCGACAAGTAGTTTGATGGATATGTGCGTATCCTGTCTAAGGTAACAACGTTTTTTTAATTGCATGTAAGGGCTGCCCGAGATTTGCATCAATATATTTCCGTTCCATTAACACCTTGCGATTTGACTGTTTTACACCATCTACCATCTAAATCCCACATGTTTTTGAGAGAACCATAAGCTTTCTCTAGAACTCTCCTAATTCAAATCAGTTTTTATCATGTCATAGATACTGTTTAGAGTTGGCAGTTGTTTTTGTACTACATACGAACAGCGACTGGTTGAAATCATCAACTTTGGTTTTGATCACTGGACGATTTCTTGGGCTGATGAAAACTATGCTTACCTTTGTCACAAGCGATACCTTCTGCTCCCATGAGCTTTAGTGTAGATACAGACAGACCAGAGGCAATGCCAGCTTTTGACAATGCTGTGATGTATTTATACGTTCTTTCTCCGTGTAATTTATGACATTATAGGCCAATTCTCGAGCTTGATAATGTATGATTTGGCCATGCTTACCTAACTTTGTCATGTTTTTTTGTTCACAACTAACTTCTATCAAACGACTTTTAGAGAATTCTGGTATCGACTTGTCACACCGACCTCTTAATTGTCTTATGAGCAACACAACATGCACGTGCACAACGTTTGTACACCCTCTCTAACTGTAACAAACCAAATATATTTGCCCAAATTCTGAGCACTGCCTACTTGCCGCAAACATATTTTGTGTGTTAGTTCAACTTATCCTGTATTACCAGTAGTTAATACTACAAATGCACCAATACTAAGATGTAAAGAGAAAATTGGTTTAAACAAAGAGCACTGTATCATGAGCAGTTTTCTATTTTCAACTCAACATATCACTGTAATTAAGAAAACATACAACTTTGTGGGTAACAACTTCAAGTTTATTGCAGACAGATAATGAAGCACACATGTAATGAAACCAGATGCGCAGTAAGGATAAGGATGAAATGGTTTAAACAGTTGTGTCAAGCTCCTTATCCCTACTGTACATCTGGCTTCATTGTCCTTGTGCTATTTGTTATCTTTGTCTACATTTAGCTTCATCCAGTTACTTGTTATCTATTACCTGTTACTGTGAATGTTACTCTGCTGCTTATCACCTGCCAAGCATATATCCCTGTCATCACTTGGTTGTTGTGACACAAGCTTGATAAAGGTGTTAGAATCTACATTGAAACATCGCTATATGCAATATACCAGAAGTTGTTATCCATAAAGTTGTACATATTTTTAACAATCAACCAGTTAACAAAGCACTATGATACGACAGAACAGTAAAGCCAATTGTTAAATTAAGTGAGTGAGTGAGTGAGTATGGTTTTACGCCGCTTTTAGCAATATTCCAGCAATATCACGGCGGGGGACACCAGAAATGAGCTTCACACTTTGTACCCATGTCGGGAATCGAACCCGGGTCTTCGGCGTGACGAGCGAACGCTTTAACCACTAGGCTACCCGACCGCCCCTGTTAAATTAAGGAGGAGTCAGTACTAGGGCTCGGATGGGTAACTCGGGTACTCGGGTACCCGGGTCGGGTGGGTACTGAGTAGGACCCGGGCACCCACAGGACTACCCAGACCCGTGATTAGTCATGTGTTTATATTGTTTAATGGCAAACATTATCTAGAACTCTATGGTTACACTATAAGTGACAAATGTTCACATTTTTTTCTGACTATGCACACATTCCTTCTGACTTTATATGTTTGAATAAAGATAAAACTTCAGTCAACTTCAGTGTACGCATAACCAGATCATTTGTTACCTGTATCTAAATACATTTTGACAGGAGTACAGTCAAACATTTCCCAATCGGACATTTTGTACCTATCTCTTGAGACCTACAGCGGGTACAGAGTAGGGTAGGGTAATAGAGGGGTGGGTAACCAGGTAGTAAAGTTGAACTCATTCCAGCCCTAGTCAGTACCCATTTAATCATCATCATCAGCAGCAGCAGCAGCATAATATTCTGTTTATATGTGAATATGTGTCTAATCTATTTCTGAATCATCAGATATGCATTTGGATTCACTCAGAAAATCACATTGTTGTAACAATGTCTTTGCGGCATCCAGGTAAACCTGTTTCCTTCTCATGTCTGGGTTTTTGAAGATGGATGGTGTCCACTGTAAGGGATCAGGGTTTTGCTTGCAACAAGCTGTAGGTAGAGTTGTCTCCCCTATTCCCTGAAATGAATAAAACATACCTGAATGTAGAACTTCCTTGGATAATGTTCTTAAAACTACCTTTCCGTATCTGGTTGACAACATATTGACACCAGAAAGTAAATTGTTAGATATTCAAAGAGTTGTTTTTATTTCTATATTTTGTTATCCCCGACTGAGTATCTTACTAGCATGACAATAAAACATGTAGAGCCCAAGAAGAGCGTGTGTAGAGTGTGTGTAGAGCGCGTGTAGAGTGTGTGTAGAGTGTGTGTAAAGCGTGTTGAAGCAATGTGTAGAGTATGTGTAGAGCGTGTTGAAGCAATGTGTAGAGTATGTGTAGAGCGTGTTGAAGCAATGTGTAGAGTATGTGTAGAGCGTGTTGAAGCAATGTGTAGAGTATGTGTAGAGCGTGTTGAAGCAATGTGTAGAGTATGTGTACAGCACGTTGAAGCAATGTGTAGAGCGTGTTGAAGCAATGTGTAGAGCGTGTTGAAGCAATGTGTAGAGCATGTTGAAGCAATATGTAGAGCAATGTGTAAAGCATGAGTAGAGTATGTGTAGAGCGTGTTGAAGCAATGTGTAGAGCGTGTTGAAGCAATATGTAGAGCATGTGTAGAGCGTGTTGAAGCAATGTGTAGAGCATGTTGAAGCAATATGTAGAGAATGTGTAGAGCATGTTGAAGCAATGTGTAGCGTATGTTGAAGCAATGTGTAGAGCATGTTGAAGCAATGTGTAGAGCATGTTGAAGCAATGTGTAGAGCATGTTGAAGCAATGTGTAGAGCATGTTGAAGCAATGTGTAGCGTATGTTGAAGCAATGTGTAGAGCATGTTGAAGCAATGTGTAGCGTATGTTGAAGCAATGTGTAGAGCATGTTGAAGCAATGTGTAGCGTATGTTGAAGCAATGTGTAGAGCATGTTGAAGCAATGTGTAGCGTATGTTGAAGCAATGTGTAGAGCATGTTGAAGCAATGTGTAGCGTATGTTGAAGCAATGTGTAGAGCATGTTGAAGCAATGTGTAGAGCATGTTGAAGCAATGTGTAGAGCATGTTGTATCAACATGTTTAACATGCTGAAATGACATGTAGAACATGCTGAAATGACATGTATAACATGTTTAGAACATGCTGAACCTGTGTGTAGCGCATGTTGAAGCAATGTGTAGAGCATGTGTAGAGCATGCTGAAGCAATGTGTAGAGCATGTTGAAGCAATGTGTAGAGCATGTTGTATCAACATGTAGAACATGCTGAAATGACATGTATAACATGCTGAAATGACATGTATAACATGTTTAGAACATGCTGAACCTGTGTGTAGAGCATGCTTGAGCCCATGTTGCACAAGTAATGTTGCCCTCTATGCAATGTAAATTCCTCCTTTCCGGAACCAGGCCATCATTTGATTTCTTGGTTAAAAATACACTGGACGTATGTATTCACAGGTGATGGAGAAACAAAGTGTATGCAAACCTGTGAAGTATTAACGATGCTTTATTGTTAAAGCATTAGTAAACCTAATAATAGATTTCTACCTATCTGTGATACTACACCATGACACTACTCACAGGTAAAGTCTTGAACATCAATGTCTATGAATCTACTTACTGTATGAGAACTGTTTCCATCTGATAATTCTGACAGTACCATCTCCAGAAAATCACTTGCAGAACCAAGATCTGGCATGGAATGACTGGAGTTGTCACTCAAACCTGAAGCATACAAGAGGATCATGAATAACCATAAATTGTTTTTCATTTCAGAAATGTATCAGTCATGATTGGCAGGTACTGTACTCTGAAATCCTTGCTAAACAATGCATCAATGATCATTTTCCACTGAGGTGAGGTGAAATGGGGTTTAAGATCGTGTCCAAGATTATTGCACTGATACAGCAATGTGCATGCACGGATATGCTAATGAATGTTGTGTGTATGTCCAGGGATCCATTTGAAAGGAACCAGTGTATGTACAAAATTTAGGACAATATGCTGACAATACTCAGCTTTTTCTATATGGATCTGAAAATAGCCTATATGCTGCCGACCCATGAAGATTCCGGGGTAAAATAGTTCTTCAGCAACCCATTCTTGCTGTAAAAGGGGACTATGCTTGTCGTAAAAGGCGACTAACGGGATCGGGTGGTCAGGCTCGCTGACTTGGTTGATACATGTCATCTATCCCAGTTGCGTGGATCGATGCTCATGAAATTAATGGTCCAGACTTGATTATTTACAGACCGCTGTCATATAGCTGGAATACTGCTGAGTTAAGCGGAAACAACAAACCAACCAACCAACTCTACACATTGCTTCAACATGCTCTACACATTGCTTCAACACGCTCTACATATTGCTTCAACACGCTCTACACATGCTCTACATATTGCTTCAACATGCTCTACACATTGCTTCAACACGCTCTACACATTGCTTCAACACGTTCTACACACGCTCTACATATTGCTTCAACCTGCTCTACACCTTATTGACTGACTATAAAAGTCCATTTCCATCATTGCGGAACTAGGTTGGAGTTATATGGATTTATATTGTGGCTGGACTAACAAGTCTGTGGATAATCTAATCAAAATCATCGAAAAAAATATCGACATCCAATTCATAAACATGACGACTGCCGTACAGATTTCGGTCGATTGCAGGATTTGCAGAGCATGTGTACTGTCAACTGGGCTTCGACAGATATTTTCCAAATCTTTTAATGTTTTAATCAAAGTGCTCAAGTGATTTGATGCACTTTGCGAAAGAAGATCTTGATTATCGTCAGATCTGCTTGACTGGGCACCACTGTTTTGTGTGAAGCAAATGCAAGTGATATGAGATGTTGCATCTGATTGAACCATAGGATGGACATAGAAGGGACAAAACTCGTAATAGCAACTGGTGGTGCAACAATCGAGCCACAAAGTTCCAGCCTAGTTCAAGGGTGGAAACTTGACTTTTATACTCAGTTAACTACCTTGCCTTTGGGGAGATGGCCAACGCTAAACAATTTGTATAAAATGTCTCGCCTTAAAATAAACGTGGATAAGACTAAAGGAGAGGTGCAATGTTGGGAAGTAATATAACATTAGGCAATCATTTAAAGCTGGACTGGCACAAAGGAGACTTTGAAATACACAATGTAGTAGGTAGAAGACCTGGATGATCAATAAATGGAAACAATTATATGATATAAACATGATAAACAGTATACGAGAAAATTGGTGTAAAAGAAATTTAACACAGTCATAAAAAGTTTGACTGTCTCTATGCCACTCTACTCTCCAGTGCATATTTTCTCTGCACTTTCTAACCCACCAAAAACATTTATACATGAAATATTATTTGAGCTTACACTAATGGTGGTCTTAGAATAACCATCAAACAATATTTAAACAAATATTTTCCACATTGTGACAATGTTCCCCGCCGCTAAAAAATGATAACATACATAATAGATCCTGTCGCTCGATCACTGTGCACTCAAGAATCATTCTCAGCTCCCTGGGGAGTATACAACCCAGGCTGCCTGTTATAGAGTTATAGACACATTTTTTGGACACTCAAATGCTGTTAACCGATATTCCTAAAGTTTGGAAAAATGTCATTCCAAACTGATCACTGAATTTAAGTCATGTAAGCAAATTAGTGATATTTGTTGATATATTGGCTAGTGAACAATCTCAATTAGCACCCCTTCCAATTGATTTATGTACACAAGACTTATTTATTTGAGTATAATACGCACTCGTATGTTATATGCACTGTTAATTATGGGCAATTAAATTCTGGAAAAATATATCTGTCGTATATAAACATTTCAGGCTGTCAGCATAAACCACGAAATTTACGATCTTTCAACTCAAAATAATATTCTAACAAGAGCCCCCTATTTCTAATGTTGAGAGCGCCCTGGGCGCTTATTACGTCGAATACGGTATATATCTTTGTTAACATGTACTTTGAAATGGAATATAAAAATAATAATTGAAAATACAAACAAGCAAAAAATATAAACTGAATTGTGATTTGTAAAACAATCTATAGCTCAAGTCAAAATCCATGTTTAACAAAGATCCCAAATTCTAAAAAGAATCATGGCCCAACCATCTACATTGAATTTTTGGCCCAACAGTTGTAAACCAACAAAAGGCGCTGACCTATTCTCTAACTTCTCAAAACCTGACACACCTTTATCATACAAACAACATGGTTACGGCTGAGATGTGTTTGGGTGAGCTGTTTTTTGAAGCTGAAAACGTTTCCACACCAGGATCGAGGAAAAGTAAGAAATGGATAGTGTGCATTTTAAAAATGATAGTGATTTTGCCAATCAGACAATATTCTTTGAGCTGACATTAAATCCAATGGTCACTGACACGCCTCTGCAAAAGTTGGATATGTAGCTTTGTAAATTTTCAGAAAGTCATAGTACTTATCACTGAAGGGGTAATTGATCATTGATAACTTATTCAAGTTGGGAAATGTATTACTTAATCATAACTGCATTGGTATTTGTAAATCTTTAGCTCAAGTCAAAACCCATAGATCCACAATGAAATCAGTAAGCCACACACACAATAAATCATGGTCTAACCATCTGCATTGAAATTTTGGTCCAACAATTTGTAAACCAACTACACATTGAAATTTGTAAAAATTGACTTATTCTCAAACTGTTTGCAAGTTTGCTTATCTTTATCATGTTCATATTATTACTTCAAACATCATAATTGCCTTTGTATATTACAAAAGGTTGATCATACCTAGTCCACTATCCCCATCTGCACCAGGATCAAGTCCGGTCTGGTCTGGAACTGGGTCGCTTGGCAAGCCCTTGGGTGGACAAGAGGAACGTGGCCCATCCCGCGTCAACCCACTGGCATCACCAAGGCTCACTGACCCAGACTGCGAGTCACCAGCGGTGTGTGCTTCCTGCCCACTGCACGGTGGGTTACCTCCCCCTGGTTCTGTCTGACTGGGGATCCAGGATACATCAGGCAAAGGGGTTTTCCTAGAGGTGGCAGAGAGGGAACTTGTCGGACTATGTAAGGAATCAGGGGGAGGTGGGTCTTCTCGGTTTGGGGCTGCACTTGTCAGGCTGTCATAAGGATCCTCGTCTTTATTGTCTGTAATCCTTTCACCTTGGCCTCTTAAGAAGCAAAGAAATAAACACATGTTAAATCCAAATAAAAGATGTACTCATTTTCCATGACTTTTTAGAAACAATTTGTCAACTACATTGACTTTGTAAATGAATAATCTATTACAACAGAGCTACAGATAAGCTGCGTATTTGCGTAAAATACCTCCCAAAACTATTCAAAACCCAATTACTTTCAATTACCTTGCTTACAGAAACATGCATGCATTAAATGGAAAATGCAATTGTTTGAAAACAGCATGTGTAAATACTCGATGAAGTTTTTTCAGCATGCGTACAAAGGAACTAATTTCCAAAACACATATACAAGCTTATTTACTTTCCGTGTCAAGCCTATAGTTAGAACTGTTTATATACATCTAAAACATTATTTCATTTTTTTTAAATCTCAAAATGCTTACTCGTTTTGGGAAAAACCCTATAGAGTGATGAATAGATGAGTGAAAAAATATTGGTTACCCAATGAAAAATGTAATAACCCAAATAAAATAGAAACCTTCGAGTGAAAACTCAATAGCTCAAAAAGTTATGTGGAGCTCTGCTACAATATTATTGGCTTGTCAATTGTCATGTGAACTTATATGGATCAATATGTTGTTTCATTCTCAAGCATGTATACAGCTTTTGTGAAAGGAGGTGCGCATTTTGTGTGAGTGAGTGAGTTGGGTTTAACGCCGCTTTTAACAGTATTCCAGTCATATCACGGCGTGTCAGCTTAATGTGGGAGGAAAGCCCGAAGTGATGCAGGTATCAGACGTTTACCACTTCGTATACACGGGTATGGTGCTGACAAACCTAGAAACATAATCGGGGCGAACCGGGATTCGAACCCACAATCATAGGTTTCTGTCAAGCCCAAGGGATGCAACTCTGCACAACCAATTGCGGTGCCTTGGACGACTGGGCCACCGTGCCCCCTGTGCATTTTGTGATTTCTTGTTAAGTGATGGAACAATCCAAATTCATGTGTTGACTTCAATGTTATTCTTTTTAGTGACCTTCTCCAGATGCTTGTACTGTATCTTGACCCTCTTTGTGATGATGAATAGACAAAGTATCTTATTATCACCACGGGTATGATTGTGGGTTCCTCCAAGTTCACCCCGGATTATGTTTCTTGGTTTGTCAGCACCATACCCATGCTCATGGGTTTCATCAAAATGGTAAAGGTCTGAGACCTGCATAACGTCAGGCTTTCCTCCCACAGTAAGCTGACACGCTGTGATGTGACTGGAATACTGTTCAAAGCGGCGTTAAACCTAACTCACTCAGTATTATCACCAAAGTAAGACAGATCTTATCAATATTTTATGGTAATAGTCCAATGTGACCTGTCCCCACTGCAAAATCTTCAGTATCCAACAAATAAATAACCAATCCTTTATCCTGAAAAGTTGTCAGTTAAAATGATTAATTTCCCGTTCATATAATTTCTTTTCATAAATTGCAAAACCTTGGATGTAGCTTCGAATAAATTATGTTCTGTGAGTCAATTTCTCTGATATTGGTAATGCATAACGGTCTGACGTTTTCACCGTCCTTATTGAATGAGTGTGCAAGTGAGTGAATGTCTGTCTTATATGGAAGGCAACAATATTTCACCTATAGCACTGCAACTCGTATAAAACAGGTGAAAACCAAATGCATCAGTTCATAAATACAACAATCCACCAATCTCCATTTGATTTGTTTGTTTGTTGTTTAATGCCTCACTCAACAATATTCCAGCTATATGACTGCAGACAGTAAATAATCGAGTGATTGACATCATGACCATTGATCTACACAATTGGGATACGATGATATGCATCAACGAAAACACTGAGCCAGACCACCTGATTCCGTGAGTCGCCTCTTATGACAGGACGATTGAATTGGATATTACAACAAGCATTCGGGCTTTGCATGCCTGGGACCCATGAAGATCTGGGAGTGGAATAGGTCTTCAGCAACCCATGCTTGCCGTAAAAGGCAACTATGCTTGTTGTAAGAGGCGACTAACAGGATCGGGTGGTCAGACTCGCTGACTTGGTTGATGCATGTCATCGTATCCCAATTGCGTGGAACGATACTCGTGATGTCAGTCATTGGATTGTCTGGTCCAGACTCGATTATTTACAGACTGCCGTCATATAGCTGGAATATTGCTGAGTGCGGTGTTAAACAAACAAACAAACAAACAAACAAACAAACAAATGCATGCCTAGATGATTACCCCTGAGTGCTGAATGATTCACTTTTTGAATCTTGCACAAGGTCTTCTTCAGGCAGAGATTGAAATGCCTCTGAAGAATGGGCATCTTCAGCTGAGTTCAATGGACGCCCTTGCTGAGAGGAGTTATTTCTAATTTTCTGTTCTGGTGAATTGGAAGATGAGCCTGCAGCAGACTGCTCAGATGACTTATCAGAAAATGGTTTACTATTTTTCATGACAGAGGGAGGTTTTTTGAATGCAGAATGGTCTTGTGTTGGAATAGTGTGTGAACCTGATGATCTGCCATCGCCAAGCAGGTCATCATCATATCCTTCACTGATATGATCATCACCAGTGTCAGGGCCTGGTAGTCCAGTCAGAGCACCAGGAGGGCTTCTGGATGTCTGGGCAGCTGCTTCAGAGCCAGTACTACCTGATTCATGACATTCCTGAACTCCACAACTTACTGATTCATTGTCACCAGACACAGTCATTTGATTCAAGTCTATGGACAAATCGTGTCCATTAGCCTGTGATGATTCCTGATGTGTACTGCTGGACAATTCACCAGGATGATTTATGGGATTGTGAGACGTAGTCTGATTCTCAAATCTCTGTCTACTGGATTCATTAAGGGCAGGGCTGTTTCCATGTCGTTGGTCCAATGACCCCTGGGATTGGGCAGTGTTTGGCAAATTATCTTGGTGGCTGGGTGTGTTGCCACTCGGTTGAGTCCATCTCTGGTCGCTGGGGGGTATTTCCTGAGCGGAGATGTTTCCATGTCCTGGGCCTTGTCTGTGATTTTCTGACACCCGTCCTGCTGGTGGTCCACTAGATGGATTGCCCTGAACTGTACCTGGAGCTTCATTCATGCGTGCTTGATACATTGCCTGTCCACTCTGCATGTTAAGATGTCCTTGCATTGAATCCATGTTAATATCTTGTGTACCATGAAGCTGTGCTGTCTGAAAAGGATTCTCACCATTGTCCTGTTTTTCTCGCTTTAGTCTATATGGGATAAAGAATTCAAAAAGCGTTTTCATCTTACTTTGAAAAAATGGTTTGTCATAATTATACCAGTCAATAGATTCAATTGACCGCAGTCCACAGGGTGTCTTGTAGACTCCCTTTCTGTCTTTTTCTGATTTTGTATGCAAAGGTCTAACGCAGTACCTCTTTTCCAAGTCTAATTCATCCTTGGGTGCTAGTCTCGTAAGTCCAAATGCCTCCTCTCTCAGAGCTTGAACATCCATGTCATCATGTGTGTTCTCAGTCAGAACAACAAATATCAAAGTGCACCTTTTCACCACTTTCTCACCTTTGAACATTTTTGAAGCAGGAAAACTGGGATTATCGTACAAGCACACTTTAGGAAACATGTTTTTTTCTAGTTTACAACTGTTCATTTTTTTCTGAATTCCCATAGCAAGTTCACAATCGCCTTCAGCAAACACCAGAGCTGCATCAAAGTGTTCAAATTTAGATGGGAGGCTGGGAGATTGGGGTGCATTAAAGGGTGTGTTTTCCATGTTGTATGGCATACTCTGTCCAGGTTGCTGGCTTACTGCTGATGGAATGATAAAGGGTCCTTGAGGTTGAGTCTGAGGATGTTCACTGACCATTTGTCCTCTGTCAGTTGGCATTATGTGATTACTGTCTTGACCTTGAGAATCAGTAAATGCTTCAGCATCATACTGAACATCTTGACTGTCAGCATCCATATTGACCTAAAACAGATAAAGAGTATCAATGGCATCATATATATTTATAAAAAAATTCTAATATTTGTAAAGACAGTAAGTAATAGTCAGCAATATTAATGCTAACATGGCAGTCTCATGAAATCGACCCTGTACGGTAATAACTGTCACATACCGTATTCGACGCAATAAGCGCCCCAATCTAATAAGCGCCCCATCGATATTTGCTAATATATTGGCTTGTGAACAATCCAAATTTGAACCCCTTCCGATTGATCAATGTACAAAAGACTTATTTATTCATGTATAATACACACTCTTGTGTTATATGCACCCTTAATTATGGGCAATCAAATTCTGGAAAAATATATCTCTCATATATAAACATTTCAGGCTGTCAGTATAAACCACGAAATTTATCTTTCAACTCTGTTTCTTTTTCACCAAAATAATATTCTAATAAGAGCCCCCTATTTCTAATTACGTCGAATACTGTAATATGCTTTATAGGGTGAGCATGGTGAAACATTCCAGTTAATAATGGCGGCAGGCGACAGCTAAATTTGAAGAGTGTCGTCAGTAAAATGTGAGTGAATATCCTTTGACAGATGATTGTTGCCATTAACAGAAAATGAATTGATATTATTTGAACGTGTATAATTTTACCGCGCACTTTTCGTACATCGCCGAAAACAGGTGAAACCGGGATACATACTTGTCAACCATACTCAGTACATCACTTCCTTGGTATAACGGTGTTGGATCCTACACCGAAACGTTGCTCCTGATTGTAATCAAGAAGTTGTTCATCCGTAAACCTTATCCTTACTTGATAACGCTATCATATTTGATACCTACTAGATCTAATCTGTTTTCAAGGCATGCTTCCATTCACTTCCTTAGTTGCACAAGATCTCACGTGAGCAAAAGCTGGACTGTCAAGTAAGCTGGTTCCCGGCTCCCTATGCACGTCGTCAACTTGCGCTATATTGTGATATTGGAGACGGGGCCCAGCTTAGACTGCCAAGCTCCTTCCCAGCGCGTGACACCTTCGTTACACTCTCGGCCGCGAACGGGCTACGCTGTGAGGAGCTTGCTGGACTGCCTAAAAGTTAAGCTGGTTCCCGGCTCCCTATGCGCGTCGTCAACTTGGAGTAACTTAGACCTACATGTCATTCACACAATGTTCAGTCACAATTTTCTCTTGTGTTTTTAATAGTTCGAGACAAAGTCGCTACAAGTTAATATTTAACCTCGAAGCAAATCGAAATGTTATTGCCTTGATCTAAAAATAGACATGGGAAAACCGTGATGGTAACAGACAAACTGACTTCGTTCCCACTGTTTTATTTTTTTGTTCATTGATCACAAGCTAAAATATTCTTCTGTGGATATTTTATATATTTTAGTTACCACAGGGTACACTCTAGGATTGTCCTGTACGATTTTATTTATATGAAATCAAGGAGGGTGGGATTATTACATTCTGTGCTGCTGATTCTGTCAAGACATTACATAATCAGTTGCAGTGGTGGGATATTTCTTTACCTTTAATTCCATTAGTATGGGCTTGAGAACTTCTTCGTATGCTTCTTCTGGTGTTTTATTTACAGAGTTATGGGAAGGTCTACTGTTCACTGAGTAAAACAGGTTTGGGCGATCACATGATGCGGATACTAAGCTGTAGTTAGCACAAAACCGAAGATGTTTTGCAATGTGTTTTTTTGTCGTTTTTGTAGCTGTTGCTGTCAAAGCAACAACTTTTGCTTGTGGTAGTATAGCCCGTAACAAGTCCAGTTGTCGATAATCAGTGCGGAAACTCTCACCCCAGGTTTCAATGCAGTGAGCCTCATCCACAATGATATGCGATACCTTCTCCTGATATATATTTTTTTTTAGCTCACCAAGGAACCCCTTCTGTAACAAGTGCTCAGGGTGCCCAAGAATATATGTTGGCATATGGGACATGACACTTTCGAATCCAAAACGCTCTGGCATAATTTGCATACACCTTTCGCCGTAATACTTAGCCTTTTCATGGATGATTGCATTCAGTGGACTCACAACCAATATGGATGTTAAATACTCCTGCAAAGGGCATTTGCATATCATAGTGCATGAACAAGCTGCCTGACAACGCCTGACTCCCATTTCAGAAGTGATTGGTCTGTGTTCGGTCCGACTTGGCCCGGGCTGTCAAAATCAAATTTAAACTCACAGATGTATCATCAAAAATATGTTTACATCTATAGACAGGTATTATATCTACCTATATATCACTTTATAGTGTCATAGATGTCAGTATTTAAAGAAAACACGGTGCTCAAAGTGAAGCCCTTTTCCCTGTACATTAACAACATAGTCTCTATCAGAAGTGATTGGTCTGTGTTCGGTCCGACTTGGCCCGGGCTGTCAAAATCAACATTAAACTCACAGATGTATCATCAAATGTGTTTACATCTAAAGACAGGTATTATATCTACCTATATCCCACTTTATAGTGTCACAGATGTCAGTATTTAAAGAAAACACGGTGCACAAAGTGAAACCCTTTCCCCTGTACATTAACAACATAGTCTGTATGGAAAATACATATTAACGAAATTATTTGAAAAATCAGTCCAATGATCAACTGCCTAAGGAGCTTTATACAGACTGAAAAGAAATACGCTTGACATGATGTAGAGTCTCTGATAATAGCAATTATAACCTTAGAAATAGATCTAACCTACAAACAATCAAATGTAGAACCCAGACCTATGCTAAATCATTTCTTCCGGATACGATTAACCAGTGGAACACTCTACCAAATGAAGTTACTAATTCTTGCTCGTTAAAAGAATTCAAATCCTGAATTAATCGTTCTGATACAATTATTAATAATTTTGACTTAAAATACGGTCATAGATCATGCCAAATTGTCCACTGTCGCCTTAGGCTCGGCTGCAGTGACCTAAACGCAGATACGTTTAGACGACATGTATCAGACATATCAGACTGCACTTGTGGGTATCCCTTCGAAGACGCAATTCACTTTTTCTATACCTGTCAGGGGTAAAAATACGATAATATCAGAAACACTATGTATTTCTACACACATGGATATGATTTAAAACCGATATTACATGACAGTAGTTTAGTTAGCAGTTCTACAAACAAGACTATTCTTAAATCAGTTCACGATTTCATTGTCAAAAGCAAAAGATTCAAGTAGCTTATAATTTTATGCATGTAGTAATGGAAAACTGCTATATCTTATTTCACAGACACCACTTGTATTGGCTTCTTATATTTCATTTGTGCATTTAGCATGTTTATGTTTAGCACTATCTTACATATAATCTGATATATAACCAGCTGTTGTAAAGTTATTACCTTGAGATGTATTTACATAAGCAAGTTTGGCTTGTTTGCCGATCCAGATTTCTTTTGAAATAAAAATATGTTTAAACCAAACATTGTCTCTATCAGAAGTGATTGGTCTGTGTTCGGTCCGACTTAGCCGGGCTGTCAAAATCAACATTAAACTCACAGATGTATCATCAAATGTGTTTACATCTATAGACAGGTATTAGTTCTACCTATACACCACTTTATAGTTTCACAGTACATCGCATTTAAAGAAGAAACGGTGCTCAAAGTAAAACCCTTTCCCCTCTACATTCTCAACATAGTCTCTATCAGAAGTGTTTGGTCGAGCATAACCTTACAGATTGAAATGTGATTGAACGTGGTATTTGTCATTTTAACTGTAACTTTTTGATCGAAATCCTATTATTTTGTAAAATAAAATCCTTGGTGGAAAACGAATGCTTTGATGTATAAATAATACAACTGTAAGATGAATAGTAGACGTCACACATCATTCGATCATTGTAATGGCAAGTTTACTGACACCGTATATTGGCATGTGTCATCAGCAGGTGGTCAATTACTGACCAGACCACACCACACCACCCGACACCACGTGCATCTGTGTCTATGAAAACATAATAATTGTAATTTTTTAGATCACAGACCCCTACGTATGAAATTAGTCGTTTTTATTTGAAAGAGACGCGGGAAAGGATTATTCCAAACAATTAGATACTGGCAGGTTGCGTAGACGGGGCGAAACATAAACGTTGTTGGCTTCTAATTGTGACACTGTTTGTACAATGTATTTACTACTTGCAATTCCGCTTCCTGTGTTACAACAACCGCAACCCTCTTTACCCAACCAGCAGTTATGAGTATTACTATATTTATAATCCCAAAGTAAGTGAGTAAATGCTTTTCACTTCCCCGTTCACGAGGTTGATATAAGCTTGTGTACCTTGTTTGATCACGTTGTACTTTACCTTATGCAGCTATTTTGCTTAATATATTGTAACTTAAACTGTTTATTCCAACAACCGGTAAAGTATATGGTGTGTATATGGTGTCATAAGCTATGATCTTTAGCCAAGTGTGTTTTGAATTTGTAAGACAAGTGAAAAAGGTATTTCAAGACTCACATATATGTTAAAAATCTGGTTCTTTTCCAGCAGCATTCATATTTATTCTAAAGTGAATTTTAACCATGTGTTTTTAACTTTCTCAATTATAAGGAAGAGAATTTATGGATGTCATCTTAATTATTATGAGAAACACAACTTTTCGGAGCATATGCTTACTCCTTCATCAGGTAAGGACAACACAATTAATAAGATAAAAAAATGTGGAAAACAACAAAGCGTAGAAACTAACAAGATAGCCATCCGATGATTGGTGCTGATAGGTGATAAGCAATAGACAACGGAAGCCAACACTTTACAGTAATTAGCGCTGACAGTATGCAAGCCAGTACTTAAGTTATTATAGATAAGTAATAGGTAATGGATACTGGGCAAACAGGAGGCCGGGGTAATAAGCACTGATAGGTTGAAGAATGGACATAGCAATGGGCAAATGGAAGCCAGCTAGGTATGTAATTAGCCCCGACAAAGATCAAAGCAATAAGTCCCAAGCACTGGGCAGATACGTTCCCTGGTCGATTTTGTAGTTTTGAGAGAGAGAGAGAGAGAGAGAGAGAGAGAGAGAGAGAGAGAGAGAGAGAGAGAGAGAGAGAGAGAGAGAGAGAGAGAGAGAGAGAGAGAGAGAGAGAGAGAGAGAAAATGCCTTGAAGTTTTGTAGCTCGTTTAGTGGATTAAGAAGTGTTGCCAGAGACATTTGTTTGTGAGAGTTTATTATGTATTTGAGGGTTGTTCTCAATCTCATTAAAATCAGATCTTAGTTGTGGCTATCGCTAAACAAAGATCTGAGGACATCCCATTACGGGTCACGTCAGAACGACCTTTCATCAAACCAATCAGGGCGTCGCTTACAAGATCATGAAAGTGACAGTCGGAATGTGTTTTCTAATCATGCAACCTCGAAATATTTAACAGAAGGTATTCCGAACGGCAGTTACGGGATTTATGATTATATCCATACAATCTACGCCATCTATAAGCCATTACAGAATGCTATTTTTATCGTTTTAAATTTTTCAATCGAGAATACGTCAAAATAGCTTTCGATTCGTAGTCGCCAGTTTGAAACTTGTGTCGTAAAGAAAGCTGCCTTTTGATTGGCTAATGTCGATTTCTTGTCAAGCATAACATTGGTCGGTGAAAGTCCGCGTAAGGTCGTTCTGACATGACCGTAATGGCATGTCCTCAGATCTTTGTTTAGGGGTAGCGAAAACTAAGATCTGATTTTAATGAGGTCAAGCAAGGTTGTGTTTTAACTCAGTTACTATTTTCCTTGTTCATAAATCGGTTACAGTCTGACAGTGAAGAATATGGAGGAAGAGATATCTGTCTTTGCCCTGTATTTGTTGAACTTGCTATTATAAGCGGATGGTGTTTATTTGCTGATAGTGTTTGTAGCTTGTGACAGAAAATAAATACATTAAATCAGTTTTGTAAAAAAACCTGCGAAATTGTTTTTTGCAATGGTGGCAAACTGAAAAAAGTGAAACTTGGTTAATGGGAGATACCAGAATGAAAGAGTCCAGATATTATTAGTATAGTATTGTGATTATCTGGGTTTACTATTTTTGTGATAGATTAACCTGGTCCAAATCAGTTCAATATTTAATAAATAAGGCACTTAAAGCTCTATTTTCGAGCAAGGTATTTCCGTCAAGGCTGAAAAATAATCCTCCTCTAGTTTTTGTTTAAGATGTTTCATAAGTAAAGTCAATCATTTAATATGCTACGGGGGATATCGACAATGGGCTAAAATAGAACAATTTCATGTTAGATGTTTGAAGAATGTACAAATGCTGCTACCCTAGCAGAGCGTGGAAGAGGTTATATTTACAAAAATGCATAAATTTCGGAAACAATGCTATTTTTAGCTAAAACAATAGCCAATTAATGTTTTGGATAATGACGTTATTATACTGTAATAATTTTTCTTATACCCTTGTCAAGCAAGGCTGATTACTGAACAGGGTACACAATTATATATGGTTGGCGAAGGATTAACAGTAACAACAATTTACATACATGAGAGAATTATCATAAGTAGTTATTAACTAATAACAACAGAAGGCACCGCAAAAGAAACATAATTTCATGAAAATTATTCACGAAAGTTTGCCACTGAAATATCAATGCATTTTGAGTTATCTGGTTTTTGATATTAGTCTGTATCCAAATATAATGTTAATGTCCAAAAAGTGCCACAAATATGGCAATGGACCGCCAAAATGCAGCTCAACAAACGACAATGGTACAAAATCAAATATCATTTGCGTTTCCTTGTGCCTTTCCTGATAAACAGCACCCCAATACGTGGATCCAACATTCTTGCATTGACACTAACACTGTACCAAGGCTTACGAAGAATCAGAGATACCAGTTTTATGACCACTGCATGCAGGCCAGACTTCAGAAATGGTTGCCAATGCTTTAATGTCGACGTGAGAACCATCTACAGATTACAGCAACGATACCAGGTCACCGACAGCATGCAGTCGTCCATTAGCCTGTTTTTTTTATTCTTCGTAAGACATGGATAGACAAATGTCAAAAACGAGATACCTCCAAAACATGCATTGCTATTTCAATGGGAACTGCTTCTGCTAGTTTTCTTTGAGTGAAGTCATGGAGGTTGAAGAGGATTTGGATGTATTCCCAATTGATGTTGTGATTTGGGCCAACATCTGTCACTGATGGAGGGTTACAAACAGGACACCAATTGTGACCATCTGATCCTCACTTTAGTCAGCTCTATACAACTAGCATTCTGACCTGAAGCATTAACAAAACGTATTTATGATTATTGTCCTATATATTCAGTTTGGGACATCTCTTAAGATGAGCAATATTTAACATAATTAATCAGACACACAAAATTATAAGAATAAATACTTTTATTATGCAAATGCATACATGTCTTTAAAGTCATCATGACTATCAATACTTTCAATGCAGTCTTTGAACAATGACTTCACATTCTCTGAATTGCAACACAATCTATTTGACTTTTATTTGGAAACAAAATATGTTTTGTTTGTTTGTTTGTTGTTTCACCCCGCACTGAGCAATATTCCAGCTATATTACGGCGGTGTGTAAAGAATCGAGTCTGGACCAGAAAATCCAGTGATTGACACCATGAGCATCAATCCACGCAATTGGGGTATGTAAATAATATGGCAGGTAAGGAGGCAGATAACACATGTTGTGCCATTGTATAAACTGTTCCTGTCGGACTGATTCAGCTGACATTCATATACATAAAGACTCCATGTTCAGGTGGAGCATGATGAGTTCCCTCATTTGAACTTGATTAGGGGATACAAAGAAGTCTGATATTGCTATATATAAAGTACATACATTTGTTTGGAAAAGAAATCCAAAACTAGCCTACACCTGTACTGAAATGGGATTGACAAAGAACTGACACCTGTACTGAAATGTTGCATTGAAATAACAACTTAAATTCCATAAGTCATCATCGAGGAACAACATATAAAAAAATCTTTAACTTCATCTTCCCAAAGCAAGAGAGTTAACTGACTATAAAAGTCCAGTTTCCACCCTTGACAAATAGGGCTGGTATTATGGAGTTACATTTTGGCTGGACTAACGAGTCTATGCATAGTCCAATCAAAATCGTGCAATGAAATCGAAATCAGGTTCGTAAACAGTTGTGCAGATTTCGGTCGATTGCAGGATTTGCAAAACATGTGCACCGCCAACTCCTTGTCAACAGATATTTTCCAAATCTTTTCATGTTTTTAATCAAGGTACTAGCGTGATTTGATGCACTTCACGATGTAAGACCCGTTTTATCACAATATGGATCTTGATTGTCGATCAGATTGTCTTGACTAGGTGCCGCCATTTTGTTTGAAACAAATGCAAGTAAGACTAGAGGTGGATTCTGATTGGTCCATAGGAGAGGCATAGAAGGGACGTAACTCGTAATAACCACTGGTGGCGCTTCGAGCCCAGGAATTTCAGCCTAGTTCAGCAAGAGTGAAAACTGGACTTTTAAAGTCAGTTAACTCTCTTGCCTCGGGAAGATGCTTTAACTTTGACATGTATTTAGTCTCTTTAGAGTTTAGAGTGAGTGACATTACATACATGCACTTACACTTTAAGGCACATTATCCATACTGCACCATGTTATGTTGTATAAAGGTATGCTGCCTTTAAGGCTACAAAACAAAATAAATCCTTAGAAGTTTCAGGTAAGCTTAGAGACATATATTGTACCATGTCTTGGGTATCCTAAATTGGTGTAATTTCTGGTCGTAAAATCAGCATATAAGAACATCAATCATATAAATAACAATATTCACCAAATATATTTCATTACACAAGAAAGATAAATGTTCATCATACATATTCAGCATCATTGAAACAAGGAAATATTTCAAAATGCCTACCAACAATAAATGAGAAAGAAGTACTTTTATATAACTATTAACTTTCTCAGTAACTCATACATCAAATGAGCTGTTTCAATCCAAGTTGGTTATTGTGATTTAAAACCACAGATTGACCAATCAAAATTAGGAATGTTCAAAATCATGGTAGAATTACATTTAATTACCTTTTGGTACATTTAATGTAGGCAATGATGCAAATATATTTATTTCAACACCACAGTTTTCCATCAAGTGTTTTATGCATTAATATTACAAAAAGTCATGTTCCATATCAAAGTCTGAAGGCAATGTAGAAGAACAATAGTGAGTGAATGAGTGAGTGAGTGAGTTGGGTTTAACGCCGCTTTTAACAGTATTCCAGTTATATCGCGGCGTGTCAGCTTAATGTGGGAGGAAAGCCCAAAGTGATGCAGGTCTCAGACGTTTACCACTTCGGTGAAACCCACGAGCACGGGTATGGTGCTGACAACCTAGAAACATAATCGGGGCGAACCAGGATTCGAACCCACAATCATAGGTTTCTGGCGAGCCCAAGGGACGCAACTCTGCATAGCGAATCGCGGCGCCTTAGACGACTGGGCCACCCGTGCCCCCTAGAAGAACAGGATCAGAGCAAACAGAATACTACAATTACAGTAACATACACCTGGGTTCAAGGCTGTCACTACCTGTCTGAGGAACTGACAGTTGCATTCCCATTCTTATCAAATACATAACAAATATGTACCCCATATTTCAGCTAAGGTTCATTAAAAATATGTGTAACAAACCATGGCATTTGTTTTTTGTACTTAAGGCCACACTTTTTTAATTTTAAGGTTCACAGATTTATTCCAGTTTTTCCACACAAGGTCGTTGAAAATAAAAGTAAATAGCTAGGTCAATCATTTATTTATTTATTGATATGAAAGTCATTCTGCTGTGGATGTAGATGGCTTCTTGTATCAGTTATAGTGATGTAGACATGGAGTTTATATATAATATTTTATATTGTATAAGGGTCTATATTACTAGTGGGAGGCATAATAACAATAAATCTGTTTATGTTTATTTTTTTATTTTCCAACTGCTTTTCAGTAGGGGCGGTGGGCCCGTGAAACAAAAAATAAAAAATGTGTGGCCTAATAGAAATAAAGGTTGAAGGACACATGTCATACTTCTTCAGTAATAGCATGTTGGTTATTTTTCATGGTTTATCATATCAATGCTACAAATGCACCAATACGAGATGTGAAGAGTGAGTGAGTGAGTATGGTTTTACGCCGCTTTTAGCAATATTCCAGCAATATCACGGCGGGGGACACCAGAAATGGGCTTCACACATTGTACCCATGTCGGGAATCGAACCCGGGTCTTCGGCGTGACGAGCGAACGCTTTAACCACTAGGCTACCCGACCGCCCCCGAGATGTGAAGACAATACTGTAAACATGAGCTGTTATATAGTCACAACTCAACAATTCACATCAGTTGTGAAAGCACCATATGGCTCTTCAGAACAGTAATGCCTTGTTTGTCAAAGGCATTTGGTCCAATTGTTATATCATGGACGAGTCAGTACTTATTTAATCATCATCATCATCATCATCATATCTGTTAATGTGACTAATCTATGTCATCGTCATCATCATCATCATCATCATCATCATCATCATCATCATCAATGTGCCTAATCTGTGTCATCATCATCATCATCATCATATCTGTTAACGTGTCTAATCTATGTCTGAATCACCAGACTTGCAATTGGCATCACTTTGAAAATCACAGTGTTGTAACAGTGTCTTTGCAGTGTTCAGGTAGACCTCTTTCCTTCTCTTGCTTGCACAGAAGACCATGTCTGACTTGTTGAAGGTGGATGGGGTTGAACTGTGATCAGTTGTCGACTTGAAGTTATCTGAATTTTGCTTGAGGCAAGCTTTTGGTAGAGTTGTCTCCCCTTTTTCCTGGAATGATTAAAATATACCTGAATGTAAAACGTCCTTGGATAACGGAAAATATTGACACTGTTCTTAAATCCCCCCAATACTATGATGCTATTGAACAAAGAGAAAATACTGGTCCTGTTTGGCACGAAAAGAAATGCACACTGAAGTCAGTTGCCCATTAAATTTGCAAATGCAAGGACTTAGTTTAAAGATTAGGCCCATTTGGAACATGGTTGAATGAAGATTCCAGGCAATTCTTCCTGACTTGAATAGTGAGTGAGTGAGTGAGTGAGTTTGGTCTAATGCTGCTTTTAACAGTATTCCAGTTATATCATGGCATGTCAGCTTAATGTGGGAGGAAAGCCCGAAGTAATGCCGGTCTCAGACGTTTACCACTTCGATGAAACCCACAAGCACGGGTATGGTGCTGACAAACCTAGAAACATAATCGGGGCGAACCGGGATTCGAACCCACAATCATAGGTTTCTGGCTTGCCCAAGGGACGCAACTCTGCACAGCGAATCGCGGCGCCTTAGACGACTGGGCCACCTGTGCCCCCGACTTGAAAAGGCTACCGTTCAGTATCAGGAAGACTGTGTTCTATATTCACTATTAAAATAGTGATAGTGTGGCAGATATCTATGGTTTCAAAGAGTATTTCCATAATATTTATATATTCATTAAGACTTGCTAACCTGGGCTGAGTATCTTAACCACATGACAAACCCTTTACTGTCATTGTCCAGACCTCATGGGTTTGTAATTTTTTGTATACACTATGTTCTCCCATCACCACCATCATCCGTGATTCCGTGTATAACTGTCAGTAGTCAAATGATCCCAATTCTATGCATGAATTGTGTGTGAATCCAATCTCATTAAAATCAGATCTTAGTTCTCGCTACCACTAAACAAAGATCTGAGGACATCCTATTACGGGTCATTTCAGAACGAACTTTCGGAAACTTTGACCGTCCAAAGAAATTATTAACAAGAAGTTGACATTAGCCAATCAGAGCGCAGCTTTCTCAGCACTAGTTTCAAACTGGCTACTTCCATTCCAGACTACACTTTGAAAAATATTTTGACAGTTCTTGATTCAATTTCAAAACTGAACGAAAGAAAATTCTGGAATGTCCCACAGATGGCTGAGGTTGTATGGCAGTATTTCCCAAGGGGTATGGATAGTCTCTTGTGTTTCAGATGTTGAACCCATTGAAGCGAGAGATAGACGATCATTTTTATGGCAATCATTCGTAGAGCCCATAACTGTTGTTCGGAACACCCCATGTTAACCTTTTCAAGGTTTCATGATTAGAAAACACATTCCGACTGTCACTTTCCTGACAGTCTGATTGGTCGATTGAAAGGTCGTTCTGATGTAACCTGTTGCTGTTGAAAATAGCCACTATACCACAGACTGGACGTATGTATTCACAGGTGATCGAGGAACACAGTGTTGACAAACCTGTGAAGTATTAACGACGCTTTATTGTTAAAGCATCAGTAAACCTAATAATAATATTTCTACCTATCTGTGATACTACACCATGACACTTCTCACAGGTAAAGTCTTGAACATGAATGTCTATGAATCTACTTACTGTATGAGAACTGTTTCCATTTTCTGATAATTCTGACAGTACCATCTCCAGAAAATCACTTGCAGAACCAAGATCTGGCACGGAAAGACTGGTGATGTCACTCAAACCTGAAGCATACAGGACAGACTAGATGATCGTGAATAACCATAATTTTATTCATATCAGAAATGTATCACGATCGTCAGATAATCCTGGCAGTTCTTTAAGGATTTGGCTAATTAAATGTACCATATTCCAATAAAGTTTCAGTGTATGTTCAGGGATCCATTCAAAAGAATCCAGTCTATGTTTAATTTTTTTCTAAACTGCTACACAAATATTTACTAAGAGTTGGATATGTATTTTGTTTACCGGTTGGATTGGAGCTAGTTCTTTGACAGGTTTCTAGCATAAAATATGCATTTGAAATTTTGTTTAGGCTTGACATGCACAATTGATAATATTTGAAATATTTTGGGGGAAGAACACACATCCAGTTTATCATGTTTCTAGTTTTATACATGACAATTTCATGTTGCACTTATGTCGTTTTCTTTCAAAAAAATTGTAAATTCTACAATAAATTGTATATTTATCACACTTATCCAATCTCACACTATGCATTTCTTCCTTCTCCTTCGATCCTTGTGGAAATGATCCTACAGCATGGATCCAGCTTAAAAAAAACACCTCACCCAAACACATCCCAGCAATAACCAAGGTTATCATCACTATCAGTGATCTGACCAAAACATGAATCTCATGCTGTGTGATCACGTGGGGTCCTCAACTAAGGCATTCCCTTTGTTTGAGCGTACAGGCTAATGTAACTGTGATGTGAGGTTGGTTGGTTGGGAGTTTTCCTTGTGACATGGGATAAGTATTATTAATACACAATTTATTGTAAAATTTACAAATTTTATAAAACTTATCCCATCTGAGATTATGCATTTATCTCACGGTTGGAAGGTGGGGTGCAGAGAACCAAGCCTGTAAAAGACTTATTCAAATCATGTAATGTTTTGCTTAATCAAAACTGCATTGTGATTTGTAAATCTTTAGCTCCAGTCAAACCCATGGATCCACAATTCGCAATGAAAATTGGTAAGCCGCACAATAAAAAAATCACAGCCCAACCACCTGCATTGAAATTTTGGTCCAACAATTTGTAAACCAACTGAACATTGTTAATTTGTAAACATTGACTTATTTTCTAACTGTTTGCAGGTCGACACACATCTTTATTATGTTCAAAAGGTTGAGTATACCTGATCCACTGTCCCAGTTTGCCCCAAGGTCAGATAAACCAGTCTGGGCTTGTCCTGCTTCACTTGCCGTCCTGTTGGCAGGAAAAGAGGAACGTGGCCCATCCGGGGTCAACCCACTGGCATCACCAAGGCTCACTGTCCCAGACTGCGAGTCTCCAGCGGTGTGTGCTTCCTGCCCACTGCACGGTGGGTTACCTCCCCCTGGTTCTGTCTGACTGGGGATCCAGGATACATCAGGCAAAGGGGTTTTCCTAGACGTGGCAGAGAGGGAACTTGTCGGACTATGTAAGGAATAAGGGGGAGGTGGGTCTTCTCGGTTTGGGGCTGCACTTGTCAGGCTGTCATAAGGATCCTCGTCTTCATTGTCTGTAATCCTTTCACCTTGGCCTCTTAAGAAGCAAAGAAATATACACATGTTAATTTTGTCAGCTAATTGTCAACTTTGTTAATGAAATGTCAACTACAACATTTTTGCCATAAAATATTGTGAAAAACGGAATACTTCTTGGGCCCTACTACTGACTATGAATGTAAAAACTTTTATTACATTTGTAACGAAAATGGCTAAGTAATGGCCACTACAAGATGGGCTTGCAGTTTGAGTGAAGTGCAATTGTCAATTCAAGGTAAAAATAAAAAATAGAATAAAAAATAAAAATAAAACAATGGAACATATATGTTAAGCTGCACTACCATCTACACACAAACCCACAAACCTCCAGGTTGAACAAACATGGCTGAGTAATAGCCATGAGTAGCCAAGAAAAACCCAAAAGATATATCTTGAGCCCCACTACTAACTACACATTCCAAAATTTCATTCCAATTTGAAGAAAACTTTGCTGAGAATAAGCCATAACTAGTTTTTTCAATAAGGCTGCCATGCCATAACTGAGAAAACAAACTGGGGACCTGTTCCGTCCTGCAATCCACACAGAGTCACAGACATGGGGTACTGGGAACTGTTCTGATCTGCAATCATCACAGAGTCACAGACATGGGGTACTCGGAACTGTTCTGTCCTGCAATCATCACAGGGACACAGGCAGGGGGTACTGGGAACCTGTTACTCCTGCAATCATCACAGAGACACAGGCATGGGGTACTGGGGACCTGTTCTGTCCTGCAATCATCACAGAGGCACAGGCATGGGGTACTGAGGAACTGTTCTGTCCTGCAATCATCACAGAGTCACAGGCATGGGGTACTGGGGAACTGTTCTGTCCTGCAATCATCACAGGGACACAGGCAGGGGGTACTGGGAACCTGTTACTCCTGCAATCATCACAGAGACACTGGCATGGGGTACTGGGGACCTGTTCTGTCCTGCAATCATCACAGAGACACAGGCATGGGGTACTGGGGACCTGTTCTGTCCTGCAATCATCACAGAGACACAGGCATGGGGTACTGGGGAACTGTTCTGTCCTGCAATCATCACAGAGTCACAGGCATGGGGTACTGGGGAACTGTTCTGACCTGCAATCATCACAGAGACACAGGCATGGGGTACTGGGGAACTGTTCTGTCCTGCAATCATCACAGAGTCACAGGCATGGGGTACTGAGAACCTGTTCTGTCCTGCAATCATCACAGAGACACAGGCATGGGGTACTTGGAACTGTTCTGTCCTGCAATCATCACAGGGACACAGGCATGGGGAACTGAGAACCTGTTCTGTCCTGCAATCATCACAGGGACACAGGCATGGGGTACTGAGAACCTGTTCTGTCCTGCAATCATCACAGAGACACAGGCAGGGGGTACTGAGAACCTGTTCTGTCCTGCAATCATCACAGAGACACAGGCATGGGGTACTGGGGACCTGTTTTGACCTGCAATCATCACAGGGATACAGGCATGGGGTACTGGGGACCTGTTCTGACCTGCAATCATCACAGGGATACAGGCATGGGGTACTGGGGACCTGTTCTGTCCTGCAATCATCACAGAGACACAGGCATGGGGTACTGGGGACCTGTTCTGACCTGCAATCATCACAGAGACACAGGCATGGGGTACTGGGGAACTGTTCTGACCTGCAATCATCACAGAGACACAGGCATGGGGTACTGGGGAACTGTTCTGACCTGCAATCATCACAGAGACACAGGCATGGGGTACTGGGGACCTGTTCTGACCTGCAATCATCACAGGGACACAGGCATGGGGTACTGGGGACCTGTTCTGACCTGCAATCATCACAGGGATACAGGCATGGGGTACTGGGGACCTGTTCTGTCCTGCAATCATCACAGGGATACAGGCATGGGGTACTGGGGACCTGTTCTGTCCTGCAATCATCACAGAGTCACAGACATGGGGTACTGGGGACCTGTTCTGTCCTGCAATCATCACAGAGTCACAGGCAAGGGGTACTGGGGACCTGTTCTGTCCTGCAATCATCACAGGGACACAGGCAAGGGGTACTGGGAACCTGTTCTAATCTGCAATCATCACAGGGACACAGGCAGGGGGTACTGGGGACCTGTTCTGTCCTGCAATCATCACAGAGTCACAGGCAAGGGGTACTGAGAACCTGTTCTTATCTACAATCATCACAGAGACACAGGCATGGGGTACTGGGGACCTGTTCTGACCTGCAATCATCACAGAGACACAGGCATGGGGTACTGGGGACCTGTTCTGACCTGCAATCATCACAGAGTCACAGATATGGGGTACTGGGAACCTGTTCTGTCCTGCAATCATCACAGAGTCACAGGCAAGGGGTACTGAGAACCTGTTCTGACCTGCAATCATCACAGGGACACAGGCAGGGGGTACTGGGGACCTGTTCTGTCCTGCAATCATCACAGAGTCACAGGCAAGGGGTACTGAGAACCTGTTCTGACCTGCAATCATCACAGAGACACAGGCATGGGGTACTGGGGACCTGTTCTGTCCTGCAATCATCACAGAGACACAAGCAAGGGGTACTGGGGAACTGTTCTGTCCTGCAATCATCACAGGGACACAGGCAGGGGGTACTGGGGAACTGTTCTGACCTGCAATCATCACAGAGACACAGGCATGGGGTACTGGGGAACTGTTCTGACCTGCAATCATCACAGAGACACAGGCATGGGGTACTGGGGACCTGTTCTGACCTGCAATCATCACAGGGATACAGGCATGGGGTACTGGGGACCTGTTCTGTCCTGCAATCATCACAGGGACACAGGCATGGGGTACTGGGGACCTGTTCTGACCTGCAATCATCACAGGGATACAGGCATGGGGTACTGGGGACCTGTTCTGTCCTGCAATCATCACAGGGATACAGGCATGGGGTACTGGGGACCTGTTCTGTCCTGCAATCATCACAGGGACACAGGCAGGGGGTACTGGGGACCTGTTCTGTCCTGCAATCATCACAGAGACACAGGCATGGGGTACTGGGGACCTGTTCTGTCCTGCAATCATCACAGAGACACAGGCATGGGGTACTGGGGACCTGTTCTGTCCTGCAATCATCACAGGGACACAGGCAGGGGGTACTGAGAACCTGTTCTGTCCTGCAATCATCACAGAGACACAGGCATGGGGTACTGAGAACCTGTTCTGTCCTGCAATCATCACAGAGACACAGGCATGGGGTACTGAGAACCTGTTCTGTCCTGCAATCATCACAGGGACACAGGCAGGGGGTACTGGGGACCTGTTCTGACCTGCAATCATCACAGAGTCACAGACATGGGGTACTGGGGACCTGTTCTGTCCTGCAATCATCACAGAGTCACAGGCAAGGGGTACTGAGAACCTGTTCTGACCTGCAATCATCACAGGGACACAGGCAGGGGGTACTGGGGACCTGTTCTGTCCTGCAATCATCACAGGGACACAGGCAAGGGGTACTGGGAACCTGTTCTAATCTGCAATCATCACAGGGACACAGGCAGGGGGTACTGGGGACCTGTTCTGTCCTGCAATCATCACAGAGTCACAGGCAAGGGGTACTGAGAACCTGTTCTTATCTACAATCATCACACAGACACAGGCAGGGGGTACTGGGAACCTGTTCTGTCCTGCAATCATCACAGGGACACAGGCAGGGGGTACTGGGGACCTGTTCTGTCCTGCAATCATCACAGGGACACAGGCAGGGGGTACTGGGGACCTGTTCTGTCCTGCAATCATCACAGAGTCACAGGCAGGGGGTACTGGGGAACTGTTCTGTCCTGCAATCATCACAGGGACACAGGCAGGGGGTACTGGGAACCTGTTACTCCTGCAATCATCACAGTGACACAGGCATGGGGTACTGGGGAACTGTTCTGTCCTGCAATCATCACAGGGAGACAGGCAGGGGGTACTGGGAACCTGTTACTCCTGCAATCATCACAGAGACACAGGCATGGGGTACTGGGGACCTGTTCTGTCCTGCAATCATCACAGAGACACACAGGCATGGGGTACTGGGAACCTGTTAGTCCTGCAATCATCACAGAGACAAAGGCTGGGGGTACTGGGAACCTGTTAGTCCTGCAATCATCACAGAGACACAGGCAGGGGGTACTGGGACCTGTTCCGTCCTGCAATCCACACAGAGTAACAGACATGGGGTACTGGGAACCTGTTCTGTCCTGCAATCATCACAGAGACACACAGGCATGGGGTACTGGGAACCTGTTAGTCCTGCAATCATCACAGAGACACAGGCAGGGGGTACTGGGGACCTGTTCTGTCCTGCAATCATCACAGGGATACAGGCATGGGGTACTGGGGACCTGTTCTGTCCTGCAATCATCACAGAGACAAAGGCAGGGGGTACTGGGGACCTGTTCTGTCCTGCAATCATCACAGGGACACAGGCATGGGGTACTGGGGACCTGTTCTGACCTGCAATCATCACAGGGACACAGGCATGGGGTACTGGGGACCTGTTCTGTCCTGCAATCATCACAGGGACACAGGCAGGGGGTACTGGGAACCTGTTCTGTCCTGCAATCATCACAGGGACACAGGCAGGGGGTACTGGGGACCTGTTCTGTCCTGCAATCATCACAGAGACACAGGCATGGGGTACTGGGGACCTGTTCTGATCTGCAATCATCACAGAGACACAGGCATGGGGTACTGGGGACCTGTTCTGATCTGCAATCATCACAGAGACACAGGCATGGGGTACTGGGGACCTGTTCTGATCTGCAATCATCACAGAGACACAGGCATGGGGTACTGGGGACCTGTTCTGATCTGCAATCATCACAGAGACACAGGCATGGGGTACTGGGGACCTGTTCTGATCTGCAATCATCACAGAGACACAGGCATGGGGTACTGGGAACCTGTTAGTCCTGCAATCATCACAGAGACAAAGGCTGAGGGTACTGGGAACCTGTTAGTCCTGCAATCATCACAGAGACACAGGCAGGGGGTACTGGGACCTGTTCCGTCCTGCAATCCACACAGAGTAACAGACATGGGGTACTGGGAACCTGTTCTGTCCTGCAATCATCACAGAGACACACAGGCATGGGGTACTGGGGACCTGTTCTGATCTGCAATCATCACAGAGACACAGGCAGGGGGTACTGGGAACCTGTTCTAATCTGCAATCATCACAGGGACACAGGCAGGGGGTACTGGGGACCTGTTCCGTCCTGCAATCATCACAGAGACACAGGCAGGGGGAACTGAGAACCTGTTAGTCCTGCAATCATCACAAAGACACAGGCATGGGGTACTGGGGAACTGTTCTGTCCTGCAATCATCACAGGGACACAGGCATGGGGTACTGGGGAACTGTTCTGTCCTGCAATTATCACAGGGACACAGGCATGGGGTACTGGGAACCTGTTACTCCTGCAATCATCACAGTGACACAGGCATGGGGTACTGGGAACCTGTTACTCCTGCAATCATCACAGTGACACAGGCATGGAGTACTGGGGACCTGTTCTGTCCTGCAGTCATCACAGAGACACAGGCAGGGGGTAATGGGGAACTGTTCTGTCCTGCAATCATCACAGGGACACAGACATGGGGTACTGGGAACCTGTTCTGTCCTGCAATCATCACAGAGACACAAGCATGGGGTACTGGGAACCTGTTCTGTCTTGCAATCATCACAGAGACACAAGCATGGGGTACTCGGAACCTGTTCTGTCCTGCAATCATCACAGAGACACATACATGGGGTACTGGGAACTGTTCTGTCCTGCAATCATCACAGGGACACAGGCATGGGGTACTGAGAACCTGTTCTGTCCTGCAATCATCACAGGGACACAGGCATGGGGAACTGAGAACCTGTTCCATCCTGCAATCATCACAGAGACACAAGCATGGGGTACTGGGAACCTGTTCTGTCCTGCAATCATCACAGAGACACAAGCATGGGGTACTGGGAACCTGTTCTGTCCTGCAATCATCACAGGGACACAGGCATGGGGTACTGGGGACCTGTTCTGTCCTGCAATCATCACAGAGACACAAGCATGGGGTACTGGGGACCTGTTACTCCTGCAATCATCACAGGGACACAGGCAGGGGGTACTGGGGACCTGTTAGTTCTGCAATCATCACAGGGACACAGGCATGGGGTACTGGGGAACTGTTCTGTCCTGCAATCATCACAAGGACACAGGCATGGGGTACTGGGGAACTGTTCTGTCCTGCAATCATCACAGGGACACAGGCATGGGGTACTGGGGAACTGTTCTGTCCTGCAATTATCACAGGGACACAGGCATGGGGTACTGGGAACCTGTTACTCCTGCAATCATCACAGAGACACAGGCATGGAGTACTGGGGACCTGTTCTGTCCTGCAATCATCACAGTGACACAGGCAGGGGGTACTGAGAACCTGTTCTGTCCTGCAATCATCACAGGGACACAGGCATGGGGAACTGAGAACCTGTTCCATCCTGCAATCATCACAGAGACACAAGCATGGGGTACTGGGAACCTGTTCTGTCCTGCAATCATCACAGAGACACAAGCATGGGGTACTGGGAACCTGTTCTGTCCTGCAATCATCACAGGGACACAGGCATGGGGTACTGGGGACCTGTTCTGTCCTGCAATCATCACAGAGACACAAGCATGGGGTACTGGGGACCTGTTACTCCTGCAATCATCACAGGGACACAGGCAGGGGGTACTGGGGACCTGTTAGTTCTGCAATCATCACAGGGACACAGGCATGGGGTACTGGGGAACTGTTCTGTCCTGCAATCATCACAAGGACACAGGCATGGGGTACTGGGGAACTGTTCTGTCCTGCAATCATCACAGGGACACAGGCATGGGGTACTGGGGAACTGTTCTGTCCTGCAATTATCACAGGGACACAGGCATGGGGTACTGGGAACCTGTTACTCCTGCAATCATCACAGAGACACAGGCATGGAGTACTGGGGACCTGTTCTGTCCTGCAATCATCACAGAGACACATACATGGGGTACTGGGAACTGTTCTGTCCTGCAATCATCACAGGGACACAGGCATGGGGTACTGGGGACCTGTTCTGTCCTGCAATCATCACAGGGACACAGGCATTGGGTACTGGGGACCTGTTACTCCTGCAATCATCACAGAGTCACAGGCATGGGGTACTGGGAACCTGTTCTGTCCTGCAATCATCACAGGGACACAGGCATGGGGTACTGGGGACCTGTTCTGTCCTGCAATCATCACAGGGACACAGGCATGGGGTACTGGGGACCTGTTCTGTCCTGCAATCATCACAGGGACACAGGCATGGGGTACTGGGAACCTGTTCTGTCCTGCAATCATCACAGAGTCACAGGCATGGGGTACTGGGAACCTGTTCTGTCCTGCAATCATCACAGAGTCACAGGCATGGGGTACTGGGAACCTGTTCTGTCCTGCAATCATCACAGGGACACAGGCATGGGGTACTGGGGACCTGTTAGTCCTGCAATCATCACAGGGACACAGGCATGGGGTACTGGGAACCTGTTCTGCCCTGGAAACAATTCAGAGACACAGGCATGTTCTAACCTGAAAAACCCATCGAGGCTTAATATCTTTAGACATATATAAGTAATCGAACGAGGTGGGCAGTTAAATGTTTATTTTTGAAATTAAATGTGAAAAAAAGAGTAAGGTTGTTAAACATATCCAATCATTAGTTGGGTCAAGAATGATTTCTTGTGTTACTTATGCTCATGAAGTCCTACCCAACTGTCAGCCTGCCATCCGCCCCAATCTGCACATTTTGGCAGTTGACAATGTTGATGGGTGCCTGTTGACTCATATTGACGGGTCCTCTTTGCTGATGGTACTGTGCTTGAGATGCAGCTGGGCGCCCTGGGTAAGGGGGGGCACCTGTGATGTAATTCAACGAGAAAAGTGAGCTGGGTCTTACGCTGTTGTGAACAGTATCTCACTCATATCACAGTGTGACTGCTTAATGTTTCAGGATTGCCATGATACATTTTGGAAACCCAAGAGCAGTGACAAGAATGATTCTGGGATTGAAATCTACCATCAGCAGATCCTGGAATGCCAAAGAGATGCAACTCAGTACAGATCACTTGGCCACCCATATTCAAACCACATCATGGCAGCTTGTAAAACTCAAGTCTTTCCAGACCAATGGTTGACAACATGAACAATGATGGGTTGGTCTGCCAGGTCACATATTGTAACCATCTGATCCTCAATTGTCAGTCCTTTCAACAAACATGGCTACTGGAGCTCTTGAGTGAGTGAGTGAGTTTGGTTTAACGCTGCTTTTAACAGTATTTCAGTTATATCACGGCGTGTCAGCTCAATGTGGGAGGAAAGCCCAAGTGGTGCAGGTCTCAGACGTTTACCACTTCGGTGAAACCCACGAGCACTGGCATGGTGCTGACAAACCTAGAAACATAATCGGGGCGAACCGCGATTCGAACCCACAATCATAGGTTTCTGCGGTGCCCAAGGGACGCAACTCTGCACAGCGAATCGCAGCGCCTTAGACGACTGGGACACCCGTGCACCCAACTGGAGCTCTTGAGCCCATAAATCAAATGGTGTGATATGAGAATATTTTGGGACTACTTAAGGCAGATATAAAAAGGCAAAAGTATATAAAACGACAAGATGGCGGGCACAAAGTATCCACATCATATCACAACTTTAAGCCTCCTTCCCTTATATATTAACAGATACTTTTGTTTCATCAATTGTGTTGCTAGAAACTTGGCATACTAGAAAACATCATTTATTTCATAGAACTGGGTCGAATTCTGTAAGGCCATCTTATTGTTAAGATGATCGTAACTCCCATTGTTTACATAGACTTGCGACTGTCGCAGCGCTAAGATCACATGTAATGGGGCCCAGGTGCATACTTGAAGTCAGGTTCATACTAATGGGTACAACAAGATGTTGACCAACCAGCGTTGTGCAGCGGAGTGACCCGTGGGTATTCCCCAGGGAGAGGGTCGAAGACATTGCGGTCAAACATTCCTGGACCCTGGCTCCCTGCATGGTAGTGGTAGTGGATTACTTGCACTGGGGATGTAGGACGCACTGCAAGGAAACACTCAACATATCACCAATAGGACAAAAATCATAAAAACATGATGGCAGTTAACACTGGTTAAATTCTCTTTTTGTTTGTCTAGGCATGCATTTGTTTGTTTGTTTGTTTGTTTGTTTGTTTGTTTGTTGTTTAACGCCACACTCAGCAATATTCCAGCTATATGACGGCAGTCTGCAAATAATCGAGTCTGGACCAGACAATCCAGTGATTGACATCATGAGCATCGATCCACGCAATTGGGATACAATCACATGCATCAACAGAGTCAGCCAGCCTGACCACCCGATCCCGTTAGTCTTACGACAAGCATAGCTGCTCTTTACGGCAAGCATGGCAAGCAAGACCTATTCTTCCCAGAATCTTCACAGGTTGATTAAATCATCAGTTGAGGATGAAGATATGTGTTTTTACATCTTTTTCGCAAAATCTCAGTTCTATTAATTTGGAATGTCATCAAATATTCAGGATGTAACTAGTCATGAATCTATTGTGACTGTCAATGTATGTCTATCGCAATAATCTGATGATGTGTTCAAGATATCAACAGTTTCCATCGAAGCAATGCTATATTATCATTGATTATCAACAGTATCAATAAACACAATAAGAAGAAAACTATAGTGTTAACATGGTTAACCCTTTGCTCTTCTATTTGTTTTGATCCAAAATACTGCTACACCTTTCTTGAAGAGACATGTGGGTATTAACAACAGAAAGGAAATTAAAGTAATTGCACTGATGATTCATGGATTACCTTCTTTTGAAGATATTGCGACATTTGGCGCAGTGCATTTCATGAGAGGTCTGTGAGCTACTCCTTCGGTTTTCAACACATGTGTTATTTCTTCACTGTTCATCTCTTTAATGTCATCTTTAGCTGGTGGGTTCTTTAGTTTGTCAGAGAAAGCAGAATCAATTTCCAGCGCTTTACTTGCTTTGTCTGGTACACGTGTTGCAGACACAGCTACCCCTGGATCAACCAGAGACTGGCCATCTCCTGGTTCCCTCAAGGCAATAGGAGGAGAATGTGGTGATGAATCTGGTGACTTTCTGCCTGCATCCATGACTTCTCCATTGCCATGTTCAAGATCAGCAAGTTGTCCAGATCCACTACCAGATCCCTGATGAGAACCAACTGTGTCAATGGAATTACTTGGTCCTTGACCTGGTGCAAGTGTGCCAGATCCATTACTGGGTCCATGGTCAACTTTTCCAGGGGGGTTTCTAGGCCCTTGACCAGAAGCAACTGTTCCAGGTTGATGTCTAGATCCCTGACCAGAAGCAACTGTTGCAGGGTGATTTCTAGGTCCTTCACCAGAAGCAAATGTTCTAGGGAGATGTTTAGGTCCCTGACCAGAAGGAACTGTTCCAGGTGGATGTTTAGGTCCCTGACCAGAAGCAACTGTTCCAGGGTGATTTCTTGGTCCATCATTAGATGGTCCATGATCAAAAGCATCCATTCCATTGTCACCAATAGGTCCTTGGCTAGAAGGAAGTTTCTCAATATCATTGCTTGATCTTTGTCCAGAACTTATGTCATCACAAGGTCCTTGATTAGCAGTGGCTTTTCGCGGACTCTTACCAGGTTCTCCATCACTTGTAAGAGTTGCTTGCTCTGAGATACTTAATGACCCTGAAATTGAAATACCAGAGTCTGTATCATTGTCTTCTCTATCATTATTACAAGGTGTTTGTTCAACAGCAAATAATGCAGATGTATTACTAAGACGATTATCAGAAACTTCAGACAATTTGACACTTGTAACTGATCCAGTTTCCTTCTTGTCAATGACTTTGATTGCTGTTGTGTCAGTAGAGCTGTGTGGGCCTTGGCTTGAATCTATTGATTTTGGGACAGTAGATTCCTTGCCTTCCCATTTTGCACGCCTGGATGATTCAGAAGAGTTGTCTTCACCTTTTGTAGACTTTGTCTGAAGACCATCTTCATCGAGATCTGGTTCTGTGAGCAGGTCTTCTTCTGGCAGAGGCTGAAATGGCTCTGAAGAATGGGCATCTTCAGTTGAGTTCTGTGGATGCCCTTGCTGAGAGGAGTTACTTATGTTATTCTGTGATGGTGACTGTTCAGAACATGTTATACTATGTTTAATGGCTGATGAGGGTTTTTCAAATGTTGGGATTATAGGGTGTGAACCTGATGATCTGCCATCGCCAATCAGGTCATCATCATGTCCTTCACTGATATGATCATCACCAGTGTCAGGGCCTGGTAGTCCAGTCAGAGCACCAGGAGGGCTTCTGGATGTCTGGGCAGCTGCTTCAGAGCCAGTACTACCTGATTCATGACATTCCTGTACTCCACCACTTACTGATTCATTGTCAACAGATAAATTCATTTGATTCAAGTCTGTGGACAAATCGTGTCCATTAGCCTGTGGTGATTCCTGATGTGTACTGCTGGACAATTCACCAGGATGATTTATGGGATTGTGAGACGTAGTCTGATTCTCAAATCTCTGTCTACTGGATTCATTTAGGGCAGGGCTGATTCCGTGTTGTTGGTCCCATGACCCCTGGGATTGGGCAGCGTTTGGCAAATTATCTTGGTGGCTGGGTGTGTTGCCACTCGGTTGAGTCCATCTGTGGCCGCTGGGGGGTATTTCCTGAGTGGAGATGTTTCCATGTCCTGGGCCTTGTCTGTGATTTTCTGACACCCGTCCTGCTGGTGGTCCACTAGATGGATTGCCCTGAACTGTACCTGGAGCTTCATTCATGCGTGCTTGATACATTGCCTGTCCACTCTGCATGTTAAGATGTCCTCGCATTGAATGCATGTTAATATTTTGTGTGCCATGAAGCTGTGCTGTCTGAAAAGGATTCTCGCAATTGTCCTGTTTTTCTCGTTTATGTCTGTATGGGAGATGAAAATTGAAAAGTTGTTCCAGCTTATATTTGAAGGACGGTTTCTCATTGTTATACCAGTCAATAGAGTCAATTGACAACAGACCACAGGGGGTCTTGTACACTCCCTTTCTGTCTTTTTCTGATTTTGTATGCAAAGGTCTAACACAGTACCTCCTTCTCGAGTCACACTCATCCTTGGGTGCTAGTCTTGTAAGTCCAAATGCCTCCTCTCTCACTGCTTGAACGGCCATGTCATAATGTAAGTTCTCAGTCAGAACAACAAATATCAAAGTGCACATTTGCACAACCATCTCAGCTTTGCACATTTGGGAAGCATCAAAACACTCATCATCAAACAAGCATATTTTGGGATGCATGTCATGTTTTAGTTCAAAACTGCTCAGTTTATCCTTTATTTCTAATGCAAGGTCAAAATCTTCTTTAGCGAACACCAGAGCTACATCGAAGTGTTCAACTTCAGGTGGGACGCCAGAAAAGTGAGAAAAGCCTCCCATGTTGTTGTTTGGCATTCTCTGTTCAGATTGCAGGCGTACTGCATGAGTTGGGGTCTGAGGGTGTCTTCTGGCCATGTGTCCACTGCCAGTTTGCGTTCTGTGATTACTGTATTGACCTGGAGAGTCAATAAATCCTTGAGCATCTTCCTGAATATCTTGATTGTTCAAATCCATATTGACCTGAAACAGATAAAGAATATCAACGTCATCTTATGCATTTACAAAGCGGTCATTAAATTTGTAAGGACATTTAAGAATTAATTGCCCTTGTGACGACGTTCATACTATGTTTGACCTATGATGGTTTATACTTCAATGAACTCACACAAAGTGAAAGTCAATTCTTTTAATTTTTTATATCACTATTTTAAACCTAGAGGGATGTATTACACAATTTCATTTAGTATGTGTGACTTTGTATGTACACTGTCATATCTAGACCCAGATTAAGTCCATAGTCTGAATGTGCATTTTTTGTGTTGTTTGCTAGGATTGGTTGTAGTGAGGGTGTTCTTGCAAAATTCTGATTTGTTTATGATTGTAAATTTTTAAAAGGTTACAATAAGATAAATAAAATCAACATATCAATTTAGTTAGTTTCATGCTTGAAGTGTTGTCATGGTGTTTTGGAGACATTTACAGTTCCATCTAATATGTATCGTCTGCGAATTTGGAAATTAGATATTCTATCTCATCAATACTTATTCTGATATATTCTTTATTAGTGCGTATTAGTCTATAAGTAATAAAAATCCTGGCATTTCCATGCATTCAGTTTAGTCGTAATTATTAATATCGTAAAGTAATAATTAATAATATCCTAAATTAATCTAGTGCACTCACCAATGTATTGTTTTCTCCATTCTGCCTGAGATCGCATTATGATAATTCCTTCGATTTTTATTTCTTCCAGTTCAGTGTTTGCCCCTTAAAGTCTCTTTAAGATTTCATTTTAAATTTGGGTAGCCCAGTCGTCTAAGGCGCCGTGATTCGCTGTGCAGAGTTGCGTCCCTTGGGCACGCCAGATACCTATGATTGTGGGTTCGAATCCCGGTTCGCCCTGATTATGTTTCTAGGTTTGTCAGCACCATACCCGTGCTCGTGGGTTTCACCGAAGTGGTAAACGTCTGAGACCTGCATCACTTCGGGCTTTCCTCCCACATTAAGCTGACACACCGCGATATAACTGGAATACTGTTAAAAGCGGCATTAAACCAAACTCACTCACTCACTCATTTTAAATTTCTATATCCTTTGAGGCATCCAGATTGATTTGCAATACTTCGATATGTTTTTGTAAGTCGTTTTCTTTCTGTTCTTGTTTTTTGAAAATGTCCGTACTGTTGCAAAAATTGAAATTGTCTATTTATTAAAGACTATTTTAAAAAGAAGTTATTTGTTGATACACATGGTTATAATAAATGTCTATTTTTTCATCATTTATCTCTTTCAAGGAAACAGGTAGACAAATCAACATGTCCCAAAACGAACTATTTGTGGAGATGGGGTGGGAGAATGCTGTCACCTTCAGTGACATTTATCAGCACTACACTTCTGTGTTCAAAGTTTTGAAGCGTGATGAGTACATATCTGTTAGAAGTACTAAGGTCAGCCAGGTTATCCCCCCAAACGCCTACATGCCAAACACCTACAGCCCAGTACCCCTACACTTGGTTAAAACAACAAAGGGATTTCACCTACTTATAATGGAACAGTCCCAAAGACAAATTAATCTATGAGAGTAGAGGATGAACCAAGTAAAGATAAGCTGGATTAACATTTGGAAAGATTGACTGAAACTGAGTAAAAGATTATATCAATCAACTTAAGATTGGTTTGTTTAAACATATTATATTTCTAAAGAAATCTGAATTGGTCAACAAGCAGGTTTGCTTATTTTAACACTGTTCTGGGAAATACAGAATTGGTTTAAAACTGGAGTAAAGGTTGAAGCATGAATGTACCTAAAGTATTTAAAAACACCAATTTCAACCAATTGTATTAAGAGTATGTTTGTTGAGGTATATAAGCATTGTCAAAAAAATGACTGCATCACCAACTAAAACCACACAATCCTTCCAACTCCCAAACAACCAATCAGTATTCACGGCAGAACTAATGGGCATGGCCTCAGCCCTCCATAATCAAGAATCCAAAAACCACAAAAAAAATTCTAATACTTACCGACTCCCTAAGTGGACTGCAAGCCCTCCAAAACAAAAATACCAAAAACCGACCTAAATTAATAAATCAAATACCTAAAAGTTCCAACGACCTAACTAAGGCAGGCAAACAAATAACATTCTTATGGATACCCGCCCACGTAGGAATATACGGTAATGAAAACGCCGATAAAGCAGCTAAACTATCCCTCAAAATCCCAGTAATAAGCTTAAACTTACCCATCTCAAAATCAGAAATTAAAAGTGTAAACAAGCAAAAAAATCACCAAAAAATGGCATAACCTATATCTAAACTCAAATAGCCAATTAAAAAAGTACTCAGGAAACCACTAACCAAACCAAAAATTCTCCATCCATCAAATAAAATTGACAGAGTAATCACTAAACTCCAAACAGGACACACCAACCTAAATAACCACCTAAAAAAAATAAAAAACACACTACAGGTAACTGCCCACACTGCAAACAACTAGAAACCCCAGAACACGCACTCATCCACTGCACACACTACCTAAACACATCGAACTGCATTACAAACCACCCTCAATCTAAACAAGGCTCTCACTCTAGAAGCAATACTAAACCCACAAAATAAACTAGAAAACTTCAAGGCCTTAGGCGTATATTCTTAATCAAAATGGAACTAATAAAACGCATCTAAAAACAAAATAATCTACCAAATCAAAATCACATAAACAAACAAACATCCACCATACCCAGCTCCCTTAGTTCTCCTTCCCAACCCCATCGGCATCTATTCCAAATCTCAAAATTCCGAAATTCTATATAAGCAACCCCTAAAGCCCCCTCTTGGGTTGCACACACCACTTTCGCCCCTTTCGGAAACACATTAAATGGCGGGGCCTGGCCCGTGTGCGAAATACGCATCAGTCGGAAAGCTCACGTTAAATCTCCAAAGTAAGTAAGTAAGTAAGTAATGACGGCATCATTCTCACAATAGATATGTGTACCCTACTCACACACAGGAGTCCCGAAGGGACAGGTCAGCCGAAATGGCTTAGGCAGAAGGCGACCTCTTAAAAACTTAACGCAACAACAACAACATGACTGCAACACTACAAAGGGTTACACGCTCCCTGGACTTTAAAAACTCCCACAGAAGTCACTAAAAAAGAAAACCCAACCCTACTATGATCAGTAGCTATCACTAAAATTCAAACTACCTGGGACAGCTGGGCCCATATATACACTGATGGATCCAAGAATTCTATCGACAACAGTGCTGGTTACGGGATCCATATCCACAGCTCCAAACCCCAAGCACATTCGGTTCGCCTGCCTGATGGTCAATCAGTATTCACGGCTTAATTGGAGGCAATTCATCATGCACTGAAACTCATACTGGAACTTCCAGAAGCATAGACAGTCATCCTATCAGACTCACTAAGTGCACTTCAAGCCATCAGTGGCGGAAACACAAACTCCAGGCCAAACACAGTCAACAATATTCTATACGAATATATAAAACTATCGGACCCAGGGCAACAGGTGGAGCTGTGTTGGATCCCCTCTCACATAGATATTCATGGAAATGAATAAGCAGACTCATTGGCGAAGCCAGCTCTAGACACAGCGGATATACAGCCTATTCTCTTTAGTAAACTAGAGATCAAAATCAAAATCAAAGCCTCTATAGCAAGTAAGATCGGCAGATGGCTATCGAAAATTCAACCCAAGATCCAACAAAAGCCAAACTCATACTTAAATGAAAGGAAAATTGAAAATGCCATCTCACGCCTCAGGCTCGGTCACAAAAAGCACTTTGACAAGGTTTGTTCATCTTGCAATCAGGCTGAAACCATTGCTCACGTGTTACTATGCCCATGCCCCAGCCCGGGCTCGGTTAAAACAAGAATTGCATTTAGATCCGCTATCTGTCATAGATCTCCTAAAGCCAAGACATGCAATAGCAAAGGCCATACTAACTCTATTTCTGAGAGATGGACAGCTACTCGAACGTATATAAACAGAGCAGCCATGGATAAAAATAAAATCATATCAATATACGAAAATAGAAATCATATATCAATACAAAAACAGAAATTATGTGAATACCAAACTCACAATAGATATGTGTACCCTACTCACACACATGAGTCCCAAAGAGGGACAGGTCAGCCGAAATTGCTTAGGCAGAAGGCAACCTATCAAACACTCAATGCAACAACATGACTGCATATTAACAATACATATTTCCCAAATCTTGCGGTCATGGACATCAGGCATTACTTGAAGGCGTATTATGCATCACAGCAAGTCTTAGAGAACCAATAGTCTTTACCATGTGACAGATGCAATGGCTGCCAGGCTGGTGCAAAGGCTGAGAGGCTGTCCCACACAGATGCCTATATAGCCTCATATTGCTGCACGTTAATAAGTGAGTGAGTTGGGTTTAACACTGCTTTGAAAAGGACTCCAGTTCTATCTCACTGTGTCAGCTTAATTTCTGTGGGAAGATTAAGCCCGAAGTGATGCAGATCACAGGCGCAAAACTAAAGGCGTGTTCAGGAGGGCGGGTGAAGTGACTCCTTCCTCAACGGAAGGACTGTACTTGCTCTCACGGCACAGCATCCAAAATGGCGTCAACGGGGATCAAAACAGCCCCATCCACAAGTGTTATAGGTTCACACGTTTATTATTTCATCCACATGTGTGAAAGCTTCACACAATTAATTTCATCACAAATATGGTGGGTTCATACTTTGATATTAATTGATAACAAAGAGTATATTTTTCAAATTGAAAATAGATGTAATAAAGCTTTTGAATGGTAGTGACTAGTCTTAAAGATTATTCTTTGGACATCAGTTTGATTCCGGTCAAAGGCAAACATATGAACATTAGGCAACGCCATCTTGGATTACTAGGCAAACTACCTCCCGAGCTTGACCACAATCCTGCGTTGAACAGTTCTTGCATGTGTAATATCACCCACTCTCCCGAATGTGCCTCAGATTTCAAGGCGTATGTAAATTTCAGTGCCGCACTCAAATTACTGGGCATTTGTCATATCAACCATTACTCTCTTGTATCATTACGAACTGCCATAGGCTTGGAACATAATCACCATGCAACACTGTGGATATCTACAAAATACTGCAAAATTATCTTTACAGCAAATTTAGTTTACAATTAATTGCAATATGACATCAGAGGGTCAAGATAAACCAATCAAATAATTACCTCGCCAGTGAATTAGCTTACCGGCGGCTGTATTCAAACTTTGAGTATGATCCATTTTTTAGAAGTTTTAGTGAGTGAGTTGGGTTTAACACCGCTTTTAACATTATTCCAGTTATATCACGGCGTGTCAACTTAATGTGGGAGGAAATCCCAAAGTGATGCAGGTCTCAGACCTTAACAACTTTGGTGAAACCCAAGAGCATGGGTATGGTGCTGACAAACCTAGAAACATAACCGGGGTGAACCGGGATTCGAACCCACAATCATAGGTATCTGGCGTGCCCAAAGGACGCACAGCGAATCGCGGTGCCTTAGACGACTGGGCCACCGTGCCCTAGAGAAGTTTTAACACAAGAGATATCATTAGAGATGAATGTAGAACTCTTTCCATTTTTGCACTTTTAAAGTTTATTACATTTAGAAATGTGTCTGAAAGTTTTCGAGTGCTTGCTATACTGCTGCCATTTTGAAAATACATCATGGGTTACCTCCCTTGTCTTTGATTACAGGTTCTACTACATCAAATCATAATCAGTCGTTCAACAAGCAGCCTTCAGTGCAGACTGAATCAGCTGGCAGCTGTGATTGGATTATTTTGTGTAAGATTCTTATGTTTTTTTAAGGTACATCCATCCAGTAATTAAAACTGACCATGTTTTTCTATATTCAGTGGTCTTCTTTAACATGGTGACTTATGCTAAATGTGACCACAGATATTTTCAAGCAAGTGACATTTGGTGCGGAACTGGAGGTGGTGTGTATAGCTTCCTGTACTCGGAAACGGAGCTAGCTAGTCATTTTTTTGTTTTTATTGCTGCTCTAAGGCCAGACATGTACATGTAATAGCTGTTGAATGCCTAGTTATTTTTAAAAAAAATATAATGCCACCATAGAAGTCTACGTGAAAACATTTGGTTGTGTGTAGCCAACAAGGTGTACAGTGATTTGTATACCTTGTAATTTTAAGGCATCACTGAAATCTAAAGGCAAAGGTGACAATAAAGAATTACGTCCCTTCGAGGAAAAGTTACCATTCTTTTTGAGCATGTCAAATAAACCTCAAAATACCCAGTAATCTTAGTGTAGCATTGAATTTGTGTACACCTTGAAATCTGGCGTTAGGTCCAGACCTGGGCTCACTTGCACAAAGCAATCTTATTGCTACGACTATTGTAAGCCTATGTTAAAATATGGGAGTTAAAATTACGATCACCTTAGCACTAAGATCGCTCTGTGCAAGTGGGCCCTGGTGAAGGTGCAAGCAAGGATTATAGCCTACCTAAATATTATCCCGGGGGAAGTTTTTCTCTCAAGTATAGTATAGGATAGGATTAAACACAATGGTATGGGTTCAAATTCCTTAGGGAGAATCATCCTGACACTAGAGAATTTTATCCCTGGGATAAAAAATAGGGTATAGGTTAATATTTACTCTTACAAAAGCAGGGTTATGGTGGAATGGCGATGACAACCCTGGAATATATTCTGACTACATCGACAAATAATGAATATTTATGTGTGTGAATGTGTATCATCATCATGATCATGCTCACAAGGGTACGGAACACAACATGAGTATCTAAAACTGAGAACATGTCTTAAACCTGTCACTCGTCCGTTTTGACCAGATAAATGACCCGTTTTGCCCAAATAGACTGGGCCGTTCCGACTTGTTTCTACATGTATGTCTGCATAGGTATAACTTATGTATGATCAGATCTCTGGAGATACAGCACAGACAGGAAATACCACCATTTTGTATGTAATTTGTCACTTTGTGTAGCACTCCATGTTGGTTGTTGAGAACAAGTATGAACTGATATGGAAGAAACGGCGAATCAAGATCTCAGTAGAATCATCAGCAATTGCGATATCATATTTGATACTTACTAGTTCGTTTTCAAGGCATGTTCCCTTTCATTTCCTTAATTTCTGTGGCAACAACATCCCACGAGAGCAAAAGCTGGGAATTCCATATTCTATTTATAGAAATGAGACCCGCCTTCACGTTAAACTGGATCCATTGTCTGTTTGCGCACCAACCCTAGCGCCTTTTCTTGTATAGTTAGTTAAGGCAGGAGTCCAGTCAAATTTCACCCAGACCAAATGAATATTCGTCACCATTCGTGAATCAACTCGAATGGTATCAATCCGTGACAAGTCGAATAAGCTAATCCATTTGTCACCACTCGCAAGTTTCTATAACCTACAACTGGACTCGACCCCATTCGTCAACACTCGCATGTTTACGTAACTTTCAGCTTCATTCGTCACAACTCGCCCCTTTCCGTAACCTGCAAGAAGATCGCATTCGTCACAACTCGCCCCTTTCCGTAACCCGGAATAACACGAGTTAGTCACGAATGAGAAGATCGCTGTTCGGCTTGTCCCGGAATAACACGAGTTGGTGACGAATGGGACGACTGTCATTCGTCACAACTCGCCCCTTTCCGTAATCTGCAAGAAGATCGCATTCGTCACAACTCGCCCCTTTCCGTAACCCGGAATAACACGAGTTGGTCACGAATGAGAAGATCGCTATTCGGCTTGCCCCGGAATAACACGAGTTGGTCACGAATGGGACGACTGTGTCACAAACGATCGTGGCGCCTCAAACGGATTCATTTTGCCGAATGAACGTCAACAACTTCAAACACGAATTGTAACTCCTGTTTCTGTTTGAGTCCACTAGTAATAAAAGCTGAAGTAAAACTCGCTTATTTCAGTTTTACAAAGGATTAAATCCAATTTTCTTTATTTAAAAATCGCAATGTTTTTGCTTGAACTGGCATTTAGATATTTTGTAAAAACGAATGTTTTCAGCTGTAATAAGCCCTAATACAAGTACACATTTGTCATTACAAGATCGAATATATAGTTTCCAGTTTTGTTAATTAAAACTATTAAACTATATTTATTGCTCTATTTTAAAAACAAATACCTTTACAAAAATATTCAAGGTCGAAATAATGAACTTGTCATATTTATCTTTCCGTACATATATAAAGTTGCAGGTAAGCATCTAATTATAGAATGGCTTGTGAAAAAGTATAATATATTAATTTGTCCCAACATATCAATACTGTAATAATTTTAGGTGGTCATTAAAAGTGTCTTTTAAATAACAAGCTTAAATTTTTAACAATTTGTTGAATAGATTAATTAGAAGATAAACATACAGTGTTTTCAATGTAGAGCTAAGTTACCTGTAGATTTAACCCCGCTAAATTGAATTTGGAACCGAACCAAATGTGATTTGCATTGTGTTGTGTTGCTTTCGCTCTACATCGCGCATCACCATTATGACGTCATTTCGCTCATTGTGACGCAAAAGATATGACGTCACATAGAATATAGAAATATATATAGAATACAAAACGAGCTCCCGTGTATTACCAATTTTATGAAACGAATGAAAAGTTGAATGGTTGTGGTATCTGACGAGCGAGTTTCATAAAATTGGTTTTACACGGGAGCGAGTTTAGTATTTTATTTATTACTTGCAATTTATAAGGTTTTTTGAATTATAGTGTTGAGTATGAATAGGCTGACACCTACATGATCCACGACATAGTCCAATTGAGTTTAACAGAATAATACTTCAAACACGTCAAAAGTTGAAACGTATGAATTTCATACCGTACAACGGGTCTACCTTTAGAATTCACAAAATTATCGTAGGGCTAAGACTTTCGCATCTCACATACTTTAACTTAGACCAACGACTGTCGTTGCGCTACAATACGATCGCCTTGTGGAACGGGCCTTGCACCTCAAAGTTTTCAATAACGTCACAATACCCGATGACGTAATTTGTGGAATTTTGATGCAAGATCCATCGGCGAAACAATGCCATGTGACGACAGCCTAGCAACAAGGTTGCTGGGGTCATCGAGTGTGCATAAGCTCCTCTCAGTGATCTATCAACTCCACACGCAATGTCGTTGAATAAGCCAAGTGATGTTGAGAGCTTTCAATATTTGTTCGTGAAACGTGTTCCGAAAGTACATAAGCACGCGTTTTGGTATTACACAATGTGTAATAAAGCTGTATGTTTATTAAACGGATGATCTCTTCACGGGCAAGTAATAAATACTAGTATACGTATATAGAAAAGCGCAAAATTCCAAGCTCTCTGAAATTTGAATTTCCATTTCATTAAAACTATCATGTTATTGATATATACTACACACACAAATTATTGGAACACCAAAATATTCTGTTATAAAAAGGAACATTTAATGACATGTGATCGTATCATTACAATTGTGCATTAGCAGATTATCAAGCTTCAAAAGAAAAACATTTACAGGTAGCTGTCATTGAAAAGCACACACGAACAAGTCGAATAAGAAAGTGGGGGTCAAAAATGGAAATCACAATGTCAAAAGCGAGTGTGTCCTCCACGTTGATTGATGCATTCGGTGCATCTTCGCCTCATGGATCTTGCAAGGGTGCGAACTGCGAAGGGTAGCCTGTGGAATAGCCTGCCATTTCATTTGGAGCCACTGAACCAGAACCTGAAGAGCTGGTGCAACTCCATGATTGTCCCTGACACGTCATCCCAGAACATCCCAAAGATGCTCAATTGGAGCCAAATCCGGTGAACATGCTGGCCACTGCATCACAGTCACATTGTTCTGTTGCAGGAAGTCTCTAACGACTCTAGCCCGATGTGGCCTGGCATTGTCATCTTGCAGGATTGCTCCTGGACCAATGTTGTTCAACCTCACTCCATTCAAATTGCCTTGAACAAGATAGAGAGGTGTTCGGTGATGCAAACTGAAGCCTCTCCATACCATCACAGAGCCACCACCAAACCTGTTTCTTTCTCGTACAGTGGCATCATCATAACGTTCTCCAGGACGTCTCATAACCCTTACCCTTCCATCATTATGCTCAAGACAGAAACGGGACTCGTCAGTGAAGAGAACTCTGGACCATTGTTGATTATCCCATCTCAAATGTGCCCTGGCCCAGGCAAGTCTTGCAGCTCGGTGATGAGGACGAAGATGAGGACGTACAGCTGGACGACGTGACCTTAAATGAGCAGCTCTGAGGCGGTTCCTGATGGTCGATACGCTTACGTTGGTGTGTGTTGCTTGTCGGAGTTGCAGTCTCAAAGCACTGGCTGTTGTGAACAGGTTCCGAAGGGCTTGCAACACAACGTATCAGTCATCTGCCCTAGATGTTACTCTGGGTCTCCCAGAACGCGGTCTGTCCTGCACTCTCCCTGTTGTCTGGAAGCGTTCCCTCAGTCTGTGAATGACAGACGGTGACACTTGAAGACGACGGGCAACATTCCTTATGGATGCACCATCTTGTAGCCACGCTATGGCCCTGCTCCTGTCGTGAATGCTTAACGGTCTTCGCTGGGGCATGTTTAAGGAAATGTGTAACTTCAGTGTCTGAAGCTTCTTTATAAAGAAAAGTTGCCACCAACTGCATGGGAATTCTGACTTTCACGTGCACTAGGTTGTTGTGTTTTGGCGTTTGAATCTGACATGGCGAGGGAGTCATTCTGCACCCAAGTTTTCTCCTGTTTTAGCATTTAATCAATTTGACCAAATTCTTCAAAAAATGAAGCACTTGCAATAATGCATGACTCAACACGTCATTTAAAGTGCCCTCAGTGCACACAAAAAGTTGCATTTACTGAAGTTCATAAATGACCAAGCCACGTTAAGTTTTATACATGGCTATGCAATTTAGGGGTGTTCCCATAATATTTGTGTGTAGTATAGTAAGAATGTAAGGGAGGAGTTGGTTGATTTTCCGTTAGTCTGCAATCTCGAACCAATCTGATTATACAAACAACAAAGTAAATTTATCTGGAAAACATGGTCAGTCGTAAACCTTTTCAAAATTCACTATGATGGCATTCCCCAAAGACATAAACAAAAGTACGAACGTTACTACATTTGGGCATTGGTCACGAATGTACATTTGGGGTGAGAGGCCAAATGTCAAGATTCTTGTAATGGCCGCGCCCACACTGGTGGCAGCGATTATACCGAGAGTGTAACGAAGGTGTCACGCGCTGGGAAGGAGCTTGGAGGGATGCTTGTTGGGATATGGGGCTAACATGGATATTTTAGGAGTGCTTCACAACATTCATTACATTACATCCCTCTTTTTTTCAAACAAACACACGTTATTAATACTCCAATGCTGAAAAGAATATATATTCTACCATGAATTTGGAATTTACTCGATTCTGATTGGTCAGTCAGAGGCTATTAAATCACAATAAACCCCCTCTGATTGAAACAGCTGGTTTGACGGCCGCATCACCGCGGAAGCTAATATTCATAGAATAGTACTATTTTCAGTCATTGTCGGTAGGCATATATAAATAATTATATCTACAATTACAGGTTACAAAATGCACATATGCGGTTACTACAATATTCAAAGGATGTGTGGCAATACATTTCGTGCAGAAAACACGATAGACATCTACAAAGGGAATGTATTTACGTTTTTGAGACAACAGAGAGCTTTGAATTTTGGCGCTTTTCTATATACGACTGTGACGTCATATCTTTTGCGTCACAATGAGCGATATGACGTCATAATGGTGACGTGCGATGTAGAGCGAAAGCCTTGCAAAGCTTGCTTTGTTTTCTTTCGGGATGCCCACCTCATGTTAGCTCACCAAGTTGCGGTGCTTATATGATTTCAATTCCTGTTATATGTTCGAGTGAAGTATTACGGTGTTAACAATCTGCTGGAGTATATACAGCCCCATATTTTGTTCGGTGATTCCGTCATTCAGATCGATAACCCGCTGAAAACACAGGACTCAACCCATGCCGCTTCACTCAGTATATTTGATAACACCAAAGAGTTCGCGTTTTATTTAGCCATCGTAGAATAATTTATCAATTTGAAGTTTACACGATATACGGCTTTTCCATTGGACGATAGGTCGGTCACATGACCGCGAAATTGACGTTCATAAGTGTATGAACGACACAATTTGACGTTCATACGTTTTTCACGAGACCGAGACCGTTGGTGCGTTGCAAAGCGCCAATCGCTTGTAAGCGATGTACAGTGATTCGCCTTACAACAGTGCGCTAACTTTCAGCCGCTTGCAAGCGAAACAATCGCTGACTAAGGTCGCTTCGTTCTCAAACCAAAATGGCGGCTTACTTTGACAGCAGAACAAGGAATTCTTGACTGGATCAACGAGAAAATGAGCAAAGGTAGCTAACACCCCATCA